GGTAGAAAGGGAATTCCAATATAAAATGTCTCAGCTATATGTGATTGGGATATGTGTTTCACTTTTGTGTTGGCAAGATGGGAGGGATCCGCACATGATACTCGTGTATTTGATAATACTATTACTAATTCAACTCTAAAGTTCCCTCATCCACCTCCAAGTATATATTTATAAGCTTCCATTAAGCTAATTTTTAATGATTTTGTATTTTTATTAATTTCACAATGTCACAAATTGTTTAATGAATCATTAGGAAAATATTACTTGGTTGATGTAGGATATCTAACACCAAATGGATATCTAGATCCATACAGATCTGAACACTACCACCTTTCAGACTTCCGACAATAAGTAGGATTTCGAAATAGTAATGAAGCCTTCAATCATTATCATTCCAGTTTAAGAAGCACAATAGAAAGAATATTTGGTGTTTAGAAGAATAGATTTCAAATCTTATGAAATATGCGTAGTTATGAGTTCCAAACACAAGTGTACATGGTTTTAAAATTTAATTCACTCATTAAATTTCACTTCTTCACGTTAAATTAATTTAAATTCATTGTATTATGTAAACTCTTTTTTTATCATGTTTCACTTTATATTTAAAATATTTTTTTATGATTTCTCTAAATATGATTTCTCTAAAGTTTTAAAATTTAATTCACTCATTAAATTTTACTTCTTCATATTAAATTAATTTAAATTCATTATATTATGTAAAAAAAATTTTATCATGTTTCATTATTTATTAAAACTCATCCATTTTGGTAATTTTACAAATAAACTTACTTTTATTTAATCATAATCCAAACAACATTTTACCAATTTAAATTTTACAAACTAACTTTTTTAAACTCTAATCCAAACACCATTCACCTTATCTAATTTAACTTTTATCCAATCTTACTTTTCTAAAAGTTAGATTGGAAATAAGTTACTTTTTCCACTGGCAATTCAAACGGACCCATTGAATATATAGGAATTTGGAAAGTGGAAGGATAAGATGGATATGGTTTATAGATGGTTTGTGAATGATCATTTGCAATATATCTAACTTAATCCTTTATAAGTCTTAAATCTTTTTGGATTTGTGACAATTCTTGGGTAAATTCTGGTCCAATATATCTTTTTTTTTTATAAACCGCTTCAAATCTGCATCTAATTGATAAGATAGAGTCATATAAACTTGTTTGACTTGATCAAAGACTTGATCTAATCTACTCATCAGAGTATCAATTCTAAGAGTTAATAAATCAAGTTTTAAATGAATCTATGTCGAAGTTCTATTCTGACAAATTACATTCTGGGTTTGCCAGTTAAGAACTTCTTCAGCTGTAGAGACTAATCTTACTTCTCCTGTAAGAAAGACTCCCGTAGGGACAGAGAAAGGTTTTGTTGAAACCTTTGTTTCTTTGTTGATTCTTCTTTTAAGAGGAGAAAAATCTTGATCAGAAGGATCAATCATCGCTATACACGAAATAGGTTGTTGGATGACAAGGATCACTAGATCTGGCTTTTGTTTAGGAAGAAAATCTTCATGACCTGTTTGTCTGAGGAAATTATATAAAGATAACTCTTTAGAGGGAACAGCAGGAATAGGAAACTTCTCATTTTTGGAATTCTGTTTTGGGCCATCATCATCATCATCATCATCATAAAACCTATGATTCTTTTAAGAACAAGAAGATGTATGGGCCTTCTTTTTCTTTTTCTTCTTTGCTGCATATCCAGGTCATCTTTATTGTCTGATGCTTCCCACCAATAAGGTGTATCGCATTCACAATCAGAATCACATTCTTCTAGTGCATGATCCTATATGAAATGACCATTTACATGGAACACATAACAAAGATTGACATTTTAATCTACCCAAGCAATTGGAGGATCTCGCTTAGATATAGTATAGGCTGGGACAATTGACAAAATGTTTCCAAAAGAAATAAAGGGTTCTTCTTGGCATGGTTTTGAAAAAACATATTTAATCGTGCCATCTGGGAGTCTTTTTATCACTAAGAGAGTGGAAATATGAACATCTCTTTGAACACCATGAAACTGTTTTTCATGATTGGTAATCTATTCAAGAGGCATCAGCTGGGCAAGTTCTTCTTTAGGAATTTGTCGAAAAATTTGGATGATGAAAGTATCATCAGCTCATTTAGATATCACATAAAGAACATCTTTAGTGCAATTTGGAAAGCGAAGATCAAGAGCATGATTCTAGAGTCTGTAGATGATCTGATGCTGTAGGGTTGCTACAATAGCTTTGGGACCTTGATTTGCTCTGATTATTCGGATCTAAAATTTCAATCTATCTGTCAGACTTAGATCTAAAAGCTTTATGTTGAAATTTGGGGCTATGGTAAGAATGACATTACCATTGCCCAGAGTACCTAGGATAGCACCAATCAAAGCATTACTATAAGAAATATAGATAGTATCAACAAGAGCAACTTTAGTAGTAACCGAAATCTTTTTCTTCCATGAAGTGTGAGATGTATATAACCCTGAGTTTTTCATTCATTAATTAAAAGTTGAGCTATGTCAAGAGTAACATACTATTCAAAAGAAATGGCAGGGACACCACAGTTGTCCAGATTGATAGTCTAAACAATCTCTTTTACATGGGGCCTTCTGGTGGAGATCAGGTTTCTGATTTTTCTAGTGACACAATTGGTACGATGATAAAGACTATAAGGGCTACAAAGAGATAGATCTATTTTTTTGAATTTTAATATATTTAGGAAGTAATTTATCTCGATTAGATATTCAATCTTTTTGGAGAGTGTTCTACAAACAGGGGAAGGAAGTCTGTGTAGGATAAAGGAAGAAGAAAGTCTGATAGGTTTAAGGCTAGTTTAGATTTCACTCATAGTTTAATAAACTCTTTTTACTCATTATCACAAATAATATCCCACTTCTGTCTGAATGGTTATTTCTTTATCTAGAAGTAAAGCTTGTTTTGATGGAGAAGATGGAGGAGTTGATGGTGCTGGTCCAGTGGGTTTAGTATATAAAGGTGAGGGTGGAAAAGGATTTTCTAGTAAAGGGAAATGAGGAGGTCTTACTGGTGGTCCGGGAAGAAAATTTGGTTATACAAGTAGAAGAGTTAGTTGAGGTTTTCTTAATTGTTTTAAAATGGGATAAGACATTTTGAAAACCTTGCTATAATATGATTCTTTTGGATAAGAAACAGATGATGTTGAATACACAGGAATTTAGAAACTTAAAAGATAAGATGGATAGGGTTCATAGATGGTTTGTAAATGATCCTTTGCAATATCCAGCTCAATCCTTTGTAAATCCCTTCGAATCTATGACAATTCTTGGGTAAATTCTAGTCCTTCAATAAACCATTTCAAATCTGCATCCAATTGATAAGCTTAAGAAGATAGAGTCATATAAAATTGTTTGACCTGATCAAAAACTTGATCTAATCTACTTGTCAGAGTATCAATTCTGAGAGTTAATAAATCAAGTTTTTAATCAATCTTTGTCAAAATTCTCTTCTGACATATTGCATTTTGGGTTTGCCAATGAAAAACTTCGTCAGCTACAGAGACTAGTCTTGCTTCACTTGTAGGAGAGAGTTCCATGTGGATAGAGAATGGTCTTGCTAAAACCTTTTTAAATGTTCTTTTCCTTTTCAATAAATATATATCCTTTCCTTATTTATTTCAAGCCGAAGAAGTTACCTGTGCGCCTCATTTGTGCACTTTTCACTTTTTCTATGTTTTTTAATGCATTCTATTTAAAAAGAGGGGAAAAAGCTCTCTTCCCCCTTTTAATCACAATGAGGTGATTAGAATAAGCTCCACCTTTTCCCTCTCTATCTACATTCACACTCTCCCCCTTATTCTCATACATATATTCTAAAAATTTTGATTTCAGTTATTTTTTATATTATGTGACAATAGTTATAAGTTAATAAAATGTAGAGAAAATATATTTATAGTTAAAAATATAAAGGATGCAATTTTTTTTTCTATTTTACAATATTATTTTTAAGAAAATTTTTCATTTAATTGTCTTTTTTAAAAGATTGAAATTTGGGCAACGTACTTAATATTAAGATTTTTTATTTTAGATATTTTAATCCGTGTTTTAAATCTTAAGAACTTTCCTGTCATTTTTCATATAAGAAAACACGGATCCCGACTTAACTTACTCAAAATATAAATACCAAGTGATAAAATTTAAAGCATTTAACATTTTAATTATATCATTTTAACTTACCGTTTTCTACAATTAAATTAAAAAAACTTATATTTCTAGAACATTTCATTAACTTACACTAGTAAGTAACATCAAAAATTATAGTTAAATAATTAAAAATTTTAGAATACAAGTATGAGAACAAAAGAGAAGGGCAGTGTGTGAGGACAAATGAAGAGAAAGAGAGGGAAAGGTGGAGTGTGTGAGATAGTTTAATGAAAAGAAATAAATGAGTTGAATATGTTCTAAAATAATATAGTTCGAAAAAAGTGTAAGAACATAGGCAATATACTTACTATTGGAGCAAGCATACTCCCTTTTTAGGCTATCTTGGATTTCATTTTTTATTTCATTTTTGGATTTGGCTTTCTTAACTCCCTCATAATTTTTCAAACAACAGTGGATCATCACCAAAACAGCCTCTCCCTAAGCAAAACTTTATGTCATTAACATTTGTAGATAGTTGCATGAAAAAATAAATGAGTTGAATATGTTCTAAAATAAATACAGTATAAAAAAAACACAAAAACACATAGGCAAAGTACATACTTAGGCAATGTACTCCCTTTTAGCCTAATTTGATTTTGGATTTGGCTTTCTTAGCTCCTTTATAATTTTTCAAACAATAATGGATCATTACCCAAAGTAGTCATGCAAAATTTTATGTCATTAACATTTCAATAAATTATCAAAGAGGAAAAAAAAGGGGGGGAAAAAAAGAAAAAGAGGAAGATAAAAAAACAAAGGAAAAAAAGAAAGAAAGAAAAGAAAAAGAGGAAGAACAAGAAAAGAATAATCAGAAAAGAATTATCATGCTGCTTAATTCTAAGTATGAATTATAGAGAGTACCTTATAGGAAGCGTCACTATCCATCAATATGCTAACTTGATGCACTATGCTGATCCTACATATGATTATTGTTATGAGCATGTCGTGATTTGCAAGGTTCTAATGGAACAGTTTGAAGCAAAACTTGACTACTGAAAGCAAACATGTGATTATGTGCTCGATAAGTTTGAAAAGTGAGTTAATAAGGGAATTGATAAGCTTATGAAATTCATCAATAATTCAAAGAATCAAGTGAAATGGGCTCTTCAAATAACTAAACTAACAGAGGTCAAAGCTCCTTCATTAAACATAAAAGGCCCACAACTTACATAGAGCCCATTCATAATGCTCAGCAGGTTGTTCAATTGGCACAGGTGCAAGATTCTTCTCAAATTATGGCTAGCAAGAATCAACTTAAACATTTTATAGTGTCGCCTTGCTTGCAACTTATAGCTCCTAAGATCGCCTTATTGCTGAACGAGTCACTCTCACAATATCTTGTCTATTAAAAAGGTTTTCAAGATGCTCACTCCTTCCAAGGTTTCCTTTTCTCGTACCTTACCTGTTGGAAGGGATTTCCAGTTCGAAGCACTATGCTAAATTCTTTATCTACCCTTCCCTTCCAGAATTTGTGCAACAGCTTTAACTTGTCAAGAGCCAAATTTTTCAAGCGCGGAGAAATGAGGGAATATGGGATAAGGACAGTTATTATTAGATTAAATTTAAGATTTATTGCTAGGATATGATTTAGATTATTATTTTAGGATTATTTTAAGTTATTGTTGTTTTATTATTGAAAGACTCTGATTAGGATTAGCATTTATTATTATTTACTCTATAAGTATTGTTAGGATTGTCAATTACGGTTGATTTCGAATATTGATTGAATTATTCATACTACAATTTCTCTCTCAGTTCTCCTTCTGCATCTACCTGCCTTTTTTCTCAATCTCTTCTCCTTTCTCTCCTCTGATTTGTATTTCTCCTCTTTCTTCTTCTTTGTTTTAGATCACCTGTTAGAAAGGATTTCCAGATAGAAGCGCCATGCTGAAGCTTGTTAACTCTCTCACTTTGTGCATCACTTTTAGCTCGTTCGAAGCCAAGTTCTTCAAGCGGGAGAGAAATGATGAGATATGGGAAGAAATAATTATGATTTAATTATATTTCTAGGATATTTGAATTATTTAGGATCTATCATTATTTTAGTGTTTTCACTATTAGAATTAGTTGTTGTTATTATTTTCATTTTGTTATTATTTTCATTTTGTTATTATTTTAGTATAAGACCTGGCTTTGAATATTGAATTTTCTTTGGGCTTGCTTCCTCTTGTCGGTCTTTTCTTCCCCTTCTCTACTCTTTATGATCTCTTCTTCCCTAATTTGTTTTACATCACCATGATAGCGTGCTAGTAGTGGCTTGCTCTTTATTTTATCACAAGCTCACACCCAACTGCTTGCTAATAGATTCTTCACTAAAAACCTCTTAGAATATAGCTTTTTAAAAAAAATTGAAGAAAAAAACTATGGTCCGGCATGCCAGTCTTTGGTATGGGAGACCAAACCCGACCTAGATCTATTCTCAATGCTTCTCCCAGACTAGACTAGAGTAATTCTAGACTAGACCAAACCGAAACTGCTAACAGGTTCTTTCTTGAGAAGGTTCAACTTTTTAAAAAAAGGAAGAGTTGATGCTAGAACAGCGGATCTGGACCTCCCGAACTTTCGAGTGTCCTCGAATGTGGCACAATCAATCAATAGAAATTTAAAGAAAATGCCGATGGTATGGTAGACCAATCTCCAGTATAGAAGGCAAAACCGAATCTCTGCTATTACCTAACAAACTAGCAAATTAGACCGGGGTGATTCTAGACCTGAAGTTGAGATAAACCTAATTTGGTATAATCTGTCTCCAACCCTACCTCTCATGAATCTCAAAGATATCACTTTGAAGTGCATGTTGCCTCACAGGACTTCCTAGACCTGGGTGATTCTAGACCTCAAGTTGAGATAAACCTAATTTGGTATAATCTGTGTGCAATCATACCTCCCACGAATCTCAAAGATATCACTTTGAAGTGCATTTTACCTCCCGGAGCTTTCAATGTTGAGGAATTTTACCTCTATTGTTCATTTTTACCTCCCATGAATCTCAGAGATATCACTTTGAAGTGCATGTTACCTCACAGAGCTTTCTATGTTGAGGAATTTTACCTCTATTGTTCATTTTTCTCCAAAATTACTTTGAACTTGAATTATATTATGTTGTTGAGCTAATTATTCAAATCTTCTTTGCGAATATTTTTGTTCTTTACAAGGTATTCTAAAAGCATACAAAAAGCTTTAGTTAAAAATGCAAAATAGTGATAAACATACGCGCATAATCCTGAATGAAATCATACTCTAAAGTGCATAAACTACATGAATGAGCAAAATAATTGTCATATTAATTGCTTTCACAAGTTAAGCAAGTAGAGGTAGACGTTTGTTCAAAAAATCTACTAACAATATGAACTTCATCCCAGTCTAAATGTCAGTACAAAATTTATTGTGCAACTATAGGAATTTAAATAATTACTGCCACATGACTAAATAGAGCTATTTTACAACATAAACATTCACTGATTGGAAATGAAGTTTCATTTCTTGATTTTTGGATAAATGTCGTAGACTTAGTATCTACTGTCATTACAATATTCTTATACTACATTAGTTGTTTCTTAATGTTTTTCAGACAAAACAAACAATCATATAACAAATACATTTAACACAAGGTTTCTCCACCTCTTGTTTAAAAGCACATAATTTCAAGCATCAACACACATCATCATCATATCTTGTTTTTCAAGTTTGCATACAGAGAATACCATTGAATAGACTGAAAATAAAAGTGGCTTATCAAGGGGGAAAAAAAAAAGTGAGAAGGAGAAGAAAAGATACCTTGATTCATGCAAGAAGGATCTGTTGTTCTCAACAAAAGCAGGAGCTTTCTCTATGAATGGGTGGCAAGAAATGCTCAATTTCAACAGAATGCAAGACAATAAAATAAGCAAATGCACCTTAATAACAAGATAAAACAACTAACTCGTGTTTTTGATAGATATATACCGATATAATAAGGTTTCTTACAGATTTCATCCTTGTGGTCAATAGGCTTTCCATATCCGATGTCTGATAGGTGTTAAATGCTAGACAAAATAAACATAGATATAACCAGGTGAATAGAATCAGAACCACATCCAGAAATCAAAGCCCAAACTGGGACGTTAAATAGACTTCAATATCAAACATCACATAGACGTTTAAGTCAGGAAGGAATCCTAACCAGAAAGAAAGCTTTAATTTATTTTTCCCTAACAAAACAATCAACAATAATGATTTTCGAACTATTCTATAGTGTAACTTCAGAGCAAATTTAAAGAAAAGGATACACGGTTTTGGGTCAATTTCCTAATGAAAGAAAATACACTCAAATCTACGAAACATGCTAAAAGCCTAAAGCTTCACGATGCATTTGCCTAAAGATTCAGAAACTCACCAGAAAGCAGAAATTTCCTAAGAACCCAAACCATCGTTGAGGAAGCAAATTACAAAACTCGAAAAACAGTAACCACAACGCAATCTAGGAATGGAATGTGAATCGAGACTTACGATAATAGGAGGCGCAAGGTTGATCCCTTCAGTTTCGTTCATATATAACCCAAAAGTTGAGTCACCTCCAACGTCAATCGAATCGAATTGCTCTAAACCTCAAGCGCAGTTAAGATCAGAGGCAAGCCCCTCCTCGAATCATGAACGACCACACCGATGACCTGGAACACCTAACACCTTCCTCATCGCACCCTTGCCGATGAATGCGTTAACTACTTCCCCACCACCAATTCCGGAATCCTTTTTCGCAGGCGGAGGCGAAGCAACTACGGCCGTGGCTCAGGAGTAGCATCCTCAGTGACAGCACCGTTGAGTAAAAGAAGAGTAGATTACATATATATCAACGTTACAATTTTTGAGAGACTGACTTCTCAAAATCAATCATCTAATTAACAGTTTTTATTCAAATTAGAGGAAACAAATCGCCTGAATTCGAATTCTAGTTAACGGCTATTTTTTATTCAAATTATAGGAAACAGTCACCTGAAATCTAATTCTAATTTGATCAACTGGGCTCAAACTTCAAATTATCGTATAATCTTGGCCATTGAAATTATTGATGGTGTAAGACTGTGCCACGTATCTGGCAAAAGATTGGAGGGGATCATTAATTTAATTCAAACAGGACAATTTAAATCATTCTTTTTGTTATGAAAATCAGAAATATAAACAAGATTTGGAATGAAAGAGATGAGTAAGATAAGAGAGAAATTGAGAGAAAGAGGAGTGTATTCTTGTTCATTTGGATGATCAAAATGTACATACATAGCCTTCTATTTATAGACTCCAAAACTCAACAAAGGGTTACATAAAATAAATATCAATAGTAATTCACATAAGTGTGGTACATATAACCTTTAAGTTATGGAATAAAAACTCTTAAAAACTATTCAATGGAGAGGTTATGAAGTATAGAATATGAAAGGTAGAAGATTTATGGACAGCCACATATTCTAATATTTATAACACTTTTCTTCTTCTTCTTCTTCTTCATTTTAGTAGTCCAGTGCTTCTTTTTTTTTTAGCCAATGCTTAATAGTCCAATTCTTTTCAAAGTCAAAAAAAAAATAGTCCAATTTGTTTTTTTTTTTTTTTGCCTTTTTTCGGCACTCACCATCTACCTATTAAAATAGGTTTTTAATTTGAGTGATTCAACAATTCTATACTTTAAGTTTTGGAAATTTTGGGAAATATAGTATCAGTTAAAATTTATTGGTGAGAATGATACATGTATATAAAATTTGCATGATATCAGATTTGGGTGTTTGTTCCTCCTAAAAAATACTCTAAATTTGTGTAGTTTCTTTCTTTCTTTTTTTTAAAACTGAATAGTGTAGTTTTTTTTTTTTTCATTTAGGGTATTTACATTATATTACCCGTTATGTTGACAAGGATGTATCGGAAGTAATTGAATTACTAATTTTTTTTATGGCAAACCATATAGTAAGTGTTATTGTCTATTACAAGAAGGGATTCTTTGCATCATGAATAAAGTAGTTAAATAACCGCCAATACTTAGATCAACTGGTTAAAAAAATTATCCCAACTTAATCAAGATCTCGAGTTTGAATTTGAGAATGCCTCTGGCTTGAATTCAAGTTAATCTAGACCCGTTAAATTTCCCGTAATAAGAAACTGCGCTAAAATATCGACGGAGATGCATGAATAAGTTTACCGTTTAAAGAAAAAAAAGAATTGGAAATTTCAATTCTTTCTGTGAAGAAAGCTTACCAATACTTTGACCGGGGGAAAAAAAAAAAAAAGAGTAAATGAAGCTACCAACACGACTTCTTTACGCATAAATAAGTTTTAAACAGCTTGATGACAGATTGCGGCTTTACATAGCCACTACAATTGATATTGATGTATCACCAACATCCTATTTAGTTGTGTATTTCGAAAAGATTTAAATGCACTAGATTTTATTTTTATATCATTTACTTTTCATCACATCTTTTACTTTAAAGTATTAAACCAGCCATAGGTTGTCATTGATTTTTTTTTTTTTTCAATCACACAGTTACCAACAGGATAGCCTCAAAGATTCACTATATACTATAAAAGGCCTACTACTTCGTATGATTTTATATCAAAAGAAGCCAACCATTACACTATGATTTTACATTATAAATGGATGTTGAAGTTATTATCATGGCAATTTCCTCTGCAGAGTACATTCTCATCCAAGATTCCAGTCCTAAACTATTAGTACCTTGCTACTCTCTGCGTGTTTTACACAGCCTTTTTATTCCCAAAAAAAAAAAAAAAAAAAGGCCTACTTCACAAGTTCAACATAGTAAATTCAAACTACCGTTAACCTTCACAACAATTTTCTGTGACGTGAGTAGCATAACTCAGCGGCAACCCAATGTGATGTCAAACAGGTTTTTGCTCTAACCTTAGAACAAACTGAAAACATGAACAGGATGAAATACAGGAATGACAATTTCATCATTCTCGATCACCATAACGTTGACATCAAGTTCCGGATATTACATCCACTAGAAAAGGGGAAAACATAAGTACTAAATCGAGGAATTTCTCATTTCTTGTAACGTGCTACTTCACCATCATTGGGAAAGAAACCCATAAGCCGACCAGCGGAGTTTTGGTATGCATACATGAACCCACCCATGAACCCGATCAGACCCCCAGTCACCATAGATGGACCCTTGATTCCAGGTTTGATCCCTAAGCAAAAAAGGGTAAACGGATTTAACCATATAATAAACATACCATTTTAGTACCAAATCATGCAGGATCTCACTTGGTTTCAGAATATGCGAATTCAATTTCACAGCATAAGCAAATCTCCACCATGCATTCAGATGCCCCGAGAGAATTTATCAGCAAGGAGTAAAAACAATAACTAAGTGCATTCTTAGGCAATGGAGTACCTTTGAAGCAACATCTTCTCAGGGATTTAATTTCTAACGTCTAAAATCTTGTCAACAAGTCCAGATTGAACAAAATCTCAGTTAGTTATGCCAAATTAGTTAAAACCTGGTCGATGTAAAACAATCAATGCAGTGCGCAAAAAAATGACAAATAGAAATTGGAAGGAAGAATGTAAAAATAATCTGAAGTCTTCAACAATGATTAACCATTGATAGGTCCATAACTAATGGACCAAGCTGGTAACTAGCATATGGGTTGTGAGGTATGATGTTAGGGTGAGAGATAAATTAGGGAATATATTGTGTGATGGAGTCAATGAGAGGCAAGGAACATGTGAGCATCTGCGTGGAGAGCATAGCACGCTCAAATTGCTAGGAGGCTTGTGGATTTTTGCTTTGTTTCCTTTTTTTTTTTTTTTTTTTGCCCCGCCAAGACCTTCAAATTAGGTTCCAATAATCTCTCGCTTGTGACAGAAAGATGCAAAACTGTCATCAACAAGCAAATATAAAAACAAACTAGTACTAAAATTATATGCATTAAGGAAAGTTTCGTTAGTCATTTTAACCACAATATTAACAAGTTTTAGATAGTAAAAGCCCTGAAGGAAAGAAAGGGATAAAGAAGTACTTAAGTCTACAAAATTCCCATTTCTTATATCACATCATCATTGTAAAAGAACCCGTGAACTGACCAGCGGAGTGCCGGCAAGCATCCTATTCTCAAACTAAATGTTGAATTTTCTAAAGATAGCAGATAGCACGCAACAGTGACTGGGAAGTCAGGCAAATATTAACTTTGTGCCAATCTCCAAATTCATCTTAAATTAAGGATATCCATGTACCCAATATATGTGCAGCATATGCCTATGTCTTCTTTATTAAAAGAGAGGAGATCAAGAAGGAACAGAAAAACTTAAAATATTAGAGACATGTGTTTAATTATAGTTATGAACCCTCATAAAATATTTTTACAAAGAACATCCCTAATTTATAGATTAAGTCCAGTAAGTCAAATCATCAACAGATACACAATAAACAGTGGCAGTTTGATAAACCTTTATAGGTATGGGTGATCCTAATCAACTATATAAAAATTGTAAAAGATGCCCACAATGCAAGTTAACCACGTCAATTGATAACTACATGACCTCCCGCAATATTAACATAAAGGTGAATTCAATCAATTAGTTGCATGAGAATGATAATTGCGAGGAACAAGTATCATTTCCCTATTCACTATAGTCCTCCCACTGGTTACTGCACATCCCCTTACCAAATTGTGACATTAATCAATATTTTTAGCATACAGGTGAAATTACACTCACTATAAGGGTCAGAAGGAAATTCTCTCATGCAATTTTAACCACAAGTGATATCATCTAAAGTCAATTAAACTAGGGAAAAGCAATAACAACCGGTAAAATTCCTATCGAGTTTTCAAGTAACAAACAATATGTTCATATAGTTTATCAGTAGCATTATTATCTGCTATTTGTCAATACAAGAAAGCGAATACCCTTTCCAAAAATATATAAGAAACATATTGTATTCAACACAGATAGAGTTTAACCAAACTGCAGGGAGAAGAATCAACTGGCCGATCACTACTCACAAAGATTTCCATTTCACACATAACACCACATGAATTCCACAAGCCCAATCCTTTTTTGTTTAAATTGCGATGCAGAGCCAATTCACGTTTCAAATTGGAACCTTGCTATAAATTTCCAAAAGTCCTACCCTAAAAGATTGGGTGGACGACAATGGGGCTGAAGGATCTAAGGTTCGATTAGCAATACTTCCCAATGTACGAACTAGAGAGTAGAAATCCGAAAACGCACAAATATCCTTCAACTTGACAGAACCATTAATTCAAACAAAACCCCAGAAGGATTGATTCAATTGAAAGGAACCAGACACTTCCACAGTGGGGTTAAGGACTCAAGCAAAGTAATTACCAACCAACATTACACATCAACTTCAAATATGAAACGAAAATATATATTTATGTATATAAAGAGAGAGAGAGACATACCAGAAAGGTAGCCAACGGTGACGGAAACGCCGGTAAGGGTGACGAAGCGAAGATAGTCGAGAGTGTTGAAATTACCGACAACTTTGGTAAAAGGAGGGTTCCGATCTATCACTGGATACTCTGGCTTCGTCGATGCGGTGATATCCGTGTTCATTTTTCTCGCTCTTCTTCTCTCTCCCCCGGCGTGCTGCTCCTCTGGCTCACTGTACTATTTGCTTCCCAACAAAATGATGATGGATATTACTCTTGCTCTTCCTTGGCAACTTTTGGGCCTCGATTTATGAGATAGGCTTATTTGGGCTTTAGGAAATGGGCTAAACAACATTATAGGCCCATGTTCTGAAAGATGTTCTGTTTGGCTATATTCCAATATTTAGGGTATATTTGAAATAGTTTATAAATAGTTTTTTAATCTTAATTTATAAAATACAAGATAAGCATGTGAGAAGAGTTTCATCTTAGTTTACGTAAAATATATTTATAAGTGATTTTAATAGTAATACTAAATTATCATTCAATAACATCTTTAAACGAACTTTTTTGTATTAAAGATCCAAAACATTCTAAAACTATTTTTATAGATCTGAGGACCAAATTGACAATCAATTTCAGTGCAAAACGGTGTTCAGTTTCCAAACCTTTTTGTGAAGATCCCTTCATTGACGCGGTCATGATTGAAGTTGACCCAGTAAAATTGAAGTTCGTGACTTTGTGTCACAAAAATTTGTTCTTTAATTATTCTCTTAAAAGGATTTAACTCGATTTCTTTCAATGCAGATGGTTATAAAACACACACATTCTCTCTTGCTCACTCTCTCACTATAACACCTTGCTCCCCTTTTGTTTGTAAGAAGAGAAAATGATAATATTAAATAAAGGAGAGTTTTACATAACACAAAAAGTTATCACCCAAACAAAATGGCGAAGAAAACTAAGGAAAAAAAAGACAAGAGAGACAACTTTGACAGAATAGTTACTAAAGGCATGCAATAAGAAAGAGCAATCCTATGCTTGTTGAAGTGGGAGGATGGATCCATTGGGAAATGGATGAAGCTTTTTTTCTTTTTTCTTTTTTTTTGGTACACAAATTTTAGGAAAGGGTTCGGGATCACCTATGATCCAAGGGTAAAGAGAAACTAACTCAAGATCTACTTGAACCTGTCTTTAAGGATACAGAAGCATCACAAGCAAACCTTTTTTTTTCCTAGTTCAATAGGTAGAAATCTCCTAAGTTTACTTAGCTGTGAATATGACTCTCCCAGCATCTCGACCAGCTCAGGAATCAAACTCACTCCATTTGTAAGACTGTTCGGCCCTTTGCCAACTGATATGGATAAAGCTTTTGTTAAGACAAGTGATTGTTAATAAAGGTATTGATGCTACTTCATGGACCCAAATTAAAAAGGCTCTGAAACACTAACCAATAAAAGAGATTCCATCCGTGGAATAACTCTTCCACAAAAACTACTTCAAGGGCAAACCACGATGGCAGATGATACCATGACAATAATGTTGTCTCAGCCTGTTATACTCGTAAGCAGACGTGTCATCCTAAACCATTAAGAGAAATAGAAGAACCAAGAGGGTTCACTAGGCAACTGCTGCTATTATTTGAAATTTGCTCCATAAAAGCCAAGGCAAGGGAGGAATGAATATTGAGAACCTTATTGATTATGACTAACGGAGGATCACATTACCCTCGTGTAAAGCCAAATTTCTTTTTCTCCATATAATGTTAAGGAGACAAATGATTCCACGTACCATGGAAGAGCCATCATCTTTGTGAAGAATAACAGTATCTTTTGACACCTTGCTCCACTAAGCATATAATCAACACAATAATCAAGTACCACCTATGATAACGGCAAATCATGGCCTAAAACTTTGAAAACAAATGGACAAAGTTAAGTCCAAAACTAGACAAAAGTGGCATTTATTTTATCTTATTTTTGCAACCATGAGTTAGGATAAAAGTCAGTTAATATAATTTGATTTATATTTGAATTGATCTTTATAAAAATTAGTCTGATAAATTAAAACTTGATTGGATAAGTAATGAAAAAGTAAGTTCAATGTAAAATAATTGAAAATGGTATTGTTTTTCTCCAAATTAATTTGTTTGATTTATAAATTGATTTTAATCTAGTGATACACATAAATATTTTAGAGAGATCATGTAATATAAAATAATTAGGTAATTTATTTATCTTTTTTAATCTCTTCAAATTGATTTACTAAATCTTATATTAAAGACTGAAGGTATACAGTTTGATAAATTTAAGAAAAAAATTAAAATAATTAAATTTTATTAGTTAGTTATTTTCTTCTTATAATATTTTTTTTTATAAACATCAAATTATTGCAGGAAAAACATCAAATTATTAGATCAAGTTAGGACCTAGGACACACTAAAATACCTCATCTTTCTGTTCATTCCCATTTTCCATCCTCTCTCCACGGTAACAATGAATTTTTTTCCTAAAAGCATCTCTGATGTCATTCCTCATGATCAATGCCGTTTTTCCCTTGCTCAACCTGGTTTTTCCCCTCCTCGACGCACGCGATCCCAAATACTCCTCCGATCCTAAATATAAGACCCTTATACACACTTGTATAAGGGTCTTATATTTAGGATCAGAGAAGTACATGCTTAATCCAAATTTTCAATACATACATACATACATATATATATTCTCAAATTCTTTATAAACTACGAATCGGATTCCAACAACGCAATCTTTCAGCTGAAATTCCAATTTAACTAATCTAATCAAACAACTATACCAAGGTTCCAACGTGAACCACGTGCCAATAAAAATATTATCTCTGGTCTTAATTATAAAATTTTGTTTGTAGACTATAAACATAGTCTTATAATTAAAACTAGAGATGGTATAATTGGAGGAAAAAAATGTGTCTCAACAACTATATGAAGGCCAGACTTACTATTTTTCGTGGAAGCTTAAAAAAGAATTCAACCCAACGCTTGCTGATGTAGCCAATATCACCTTCGAAAAAGGGACCATCATGATCAAAGATTTGAGGTATTGAAGCCAGACAAAGTGTTGACTTTCTAACTCCAAAAGAATAAAATAAGTACAAAATTTGACCTTTTGAGCAAACTCAATCATGCTTAACTAATGTTACAATATTAAATGTGTCTTGCAAAATCTTTGGTTGCCTATGGCTATACAAAAGAATAAGGCATTAGTAAAATAATAGTAAGCATATATGATTGACTAACAAGCTGTTAGTTAAGATAATAATGACCACTCCCATAAGAAAAAAAATACAAATAAAAATTTCAGGAAACACACTTATGGATAGAGCTATTCTTTATCTCTCAACCCAAAAAGGACGAATCTTTAAGTCTAATATGATTTCAAAATATCCTAGTTTTACCTAAAGAAAGTACATATGATTGAATATGCACCGACTTTTGATGAGATCCGTGTAGGGTCATTCACCTTCGGCATGTGCTAACCTGAAATAATGGACTTAGTGTGCATGCCAAACAAACATCTCCATTAATGCAAAATTTAAACAAATAATATTACCGAAAAAAATATTCAAACAAATATTTGAAATTTTGCATGCAAGGATGGTAAATATCCCTAAGAAATGCGTGCATGTATCAAATTTAATTACTCAATATAACTCTCACAACGATTATGTATAAATTATTTGTTAATCTTGAGATAGCAAAAGGATTGAAACGTCATTCTTCCAAATATTTTTGTATGAAGTTTTGCACTTTTTTTCTGGACTACTTTGCAATGTTTTAAAAACCGGACCGGATGTTGAACCGGAAAGAACAGCGGGTCATTGTTCAAACGGTTGGATCGGTTAAACCGATGGTCGAACCAGTAACATAATAATTAAATAAAAATAATATTATATACATGTAAAATAATATAAATATAAAAAATAAATACTTATTATAGGAAATAATTCTTATAGATTTTTTTTTGGCTAAAAATTCTTTTAGAGTCAAAGTGGAAAATACTTATGGATATTCTTAAAAACTAAAACTGAAAAATAAAACATTCTTTGTTAATCTGTACCGTATTCAGAGCAAAACGTTTGCTTTTTCTTTGCACATTTTCGATGCTCTCCAGTCTCCAGATGCTTCTTTTATCTCTCTCCATCGTCATTTTCAAACGCATTCCAGAAACTTCCTCCATTGCCGTTCCAAATTCGAATTGCTCAATGATCTTCAATTGGCCACAGCACTCAATTTACACAGCCATCTCTCTATCTTCATCTTCAATTCATCTCACTCTCTTCGTCCTCTTCTACCTCTTTTACATTTGTGCTCTTTTGTTGTCGTTATTGGAGAAGAAGAGGTAAATCGACTATTTTTTCATATTTGTTAGTTTTCAACTTGATTTATTGTTTTTTCCTGGTTGGCTGTTGTCATTCTCTCATACTCCCTTCTTTTTTTCCTCTTGTTTGCATCCCTCCTCCTTCTTGTTCTGATTCTAAACAAAGGAAGAGACTTTCACCTGCCCGGTTTTTGTAAAACCGTTCTGGGTTCCGGCTCAATGCCGATTTCTGGCCCAACGTTCTGATTCAATCCGGGTAAACCATTCAGACGGTCTAAATCTATAAACCAAGCCGTAATGTTGAACGGGTGGCGGTTAGACCGGTCCGACCGTTCGGTCCAGTCCGGTTTTTAAAACCTTGCTACTTTGACATTTGTGCCTCAAATAAATTTATATTCTATAATGAAATATACAATTAATCTCAAATGATCTTTTTACCATAAATATATAATTACCTTACTAATGAAGTGACCAAAGTTGTGGTGGTGAGAGAAATGTCAATCGTTTTCAAAAGATAGGAGTGATAATTTAGTTCAAATGGAATTTTTTTAAAGATTTATTAGGTCTATCTGCCATAAATGTATTGATCTCACGTTTGTGATATTATCAAGCTTTCTTATGAGATAGAAAATGTCCAAAATCAAAATTTGTGTACAATCAACACATTATGCTAAAACGGACATATTTTTATTTTTTTAGAAATACAAAGATCATGATAAGACGGTGCAAAATAAAAACAAGCTATTTATATCCTAGATGAGCCTCATTTTTCAATATTGTCGGTTGCATTCCATTCATTTTTGTCCAAGTTTTTTGCTTCGGCAATAAGCCAACTAATCCGTCTTTGGAAACATTGTCCATTGCACGCTACTCCTATTCATTTTAAGGAACGAGTTTCGGATGTGTATTAAGAGCTCATCTCGTTTAGATTAAATTTAAATGGTTGATATTGAATTTTATCTTTTTATTCTTTTAAAAATTATTACTTGAAAATTTTACCTCTAAACTGTTAAAGTTATATTACCTCCTGTCCTCAACATAAAATCCACAATCTTATTTCCATTTTATAATATTTTAAAATTAGAATTGGTTTGGTCATTTCTATAAGATTTTGCTTAAAGATGTTTAAGCGTTAATTTTATATTCTTTATCCTTATCTTTTTCCCATACTACATTCTAGGGATATGCTAAAAGCCAGTAGTTTGGTCCAGCTCGACCCAACTGAAAGTAATCTGGTTTGGTCCAATTCGATCCACTCTAAATAAACAATATGATAAAATCGGATCAAATTAAACCAGACTAGTTAGTCGAGTTGAACTAGGTTCTAGACTAAATGGTTAGACCACCTTTTGGTCTGATTCAAGTGTTTTGTTTAAATTGTAATTTGAAATGTCTTTTTTTAATTTTTATTTAATATTGTTGGAGATTTTTGTAGATTTATGATTAATTTTAAATGTTTTGGTATGATTTTTATATGATCGCAGGCTTTTTATTGTCCTAATTTTATTTATTAGTTTGAATTTTGAAATCTTGGTTCCCATAAAGGATTTTTTTTATTAAAAAAAAAAAGAAAATTAATGTCTTAGACTGCCTAGACTGGCTTAAGTAGTTTGTTAGACCAAGTCTACCCCAGCTTGACTTTGGGTTACTATTGTATTGGATTAGGAGAGTGTTTAGATAGAAATAAAACTATGACTTTAAAAGTGTTTTTATGATATATGAAGTAAATAAATAGAATAGGTTGCCTCGATTTACAAAAAAAAATATTTTTTAAAAGCACTTTTTGGATAATCGAAACACTTCCTAGACCACAAATTGCTAAACCCAATTGATTAAAAATCAGACCAAATTTCGGGTTGGGTTTTTTTTTTCTTTTGATAACAAGGTTGGGCTTTTTTCTAGTTTGATCTATTTGTTGTATGGTCTTGCTATGTGTTTTTCTTTTTTGGGGGTGTTTAGCAAACCTAGAAAAAGTACTTTTCGAGCTCAAACCAAGGTTTGACCCCGAAAGTATCCAAACACCTCTTAGTTTTTGAAATCATGGTTTTGTCATGAAACTATGGTTTGCCTATCAAAACCATAGTTTTGTCATAAGCGAAATTTTTTTGCTTTTTGAATGAATATGGACGTTGTTGTCAGTGAAATTTTTTGCCCAATCATGGTCAATCTTTATGCCTTCACATTTCCCCTTCTTTCTTCTCCTTGATTCTTTTTGTTTTTTGACCAGTTCTCCTCCCCCACTTAAAACAATATTTTTCTATTGAAAAAAATTAGCATTTTTTCTAAAAATATATTTAATCTTATATTTTATAAATATATATATACACATATTAACAATTAGTTAATATATTTTTATGCATTATTTATTATGTTGGCAAAAAAACTATTAACAAATTTATTATTATGGTCCTTAATATATAACCTGATTTGAGAGTTAATATTAGTCTTAAATGTAAAATCTATTTTATATGATTATCTACTTTTTTTCAAATTAACCTTATTGATATTTCCTCAATAATAATCAAGTAGGAGAGGGAGGAAGGAAGGAAATTAAAAAAGATATTTAGGGTGTCTTAAAAAATCATATTAACTAATTCAACTAACACTTTTAATCTACTCAAATTAATTAATTATATCTTATATTAGGGACAATAGAAAAACTTCAAATAAAAATATAAATTTAAATATATTTTTTATGTAATTATCATATTAACTTATGTACTTTTTAGTAATTTGAACCAAAAAAAAATGCTTCTGATAATAACTATCCAAATACTATCTTTTTATTAAAATTATTTTTTTCATAAAATCTATTCTCAAAATCACTTTTTTCTCAGAAGCTATTCTTCAAACCATAGTTTGAATTTATCTAAACACCCCCTAAAACCATGGTTTTTCATAAAGCGAATTTTTTTAACTTTTGAAGGTATAAAATTATGGTTTGGGACATAAAAAATAGATAAATATAAGAGATAAAGTAGATTAAAATCTTATATTCAAAATCAAATTAAAAATCCAATTAGCTCTTATATTAAACATGAGAGGTAATATTAATTAATTATATTTTTTATATGCAATTTATCATTTCAAACAAAAATATAAATTAAGATCTATTTTTCTATTATTATCATATTAACTTACATTTTTTTAGTAATTTACATATAAAAAAATGATTATAAGAACAACTACTCAAATATTTTTACTTTATCAAAATTATTTTTTTTACAAAATCTATTCTTTTAAAATTTATTCTCAAAATCTATTTATCAAAATCCATTTTTTAGAAATTATACAATTTGAAATCATGATTTGGTTTTACGGCTTTCTTCTTTTATCAAAGTGAGTAGAGAGGGTTGAGTCCAAAAAAAAAAAAAAAGTGAGCAGAGAGGGTATTCAGGACGAGAGGGGGTATTTGAAAACCATAAGCACCTCGCACTCACGTGGTGAGCACTGACGAGAGTCTTAAACCGCTCCCTTTACCAACCAAAACGGTACTACGGATTCTCCTCGCATGACGGGGGATAGACGCCCGCCTTTGGAAGCATTTGTCGATTCCACGCCATTCCTATTCTCACTTTTTCGGGTGTTACTGTTAAGTGGTTAGCCCAAGGGCGTCAAGCGAGAGCGGCGAAGCTCCATGGCGTTGGATAACCACATAGAGAAGATACTTTGGAATGAGGATCAAATCTCCCGCCGAGTCTCCGAGCTCGCCGCCCAAATCGCTGACGACTTTCGTTCCTCCTCTCCTCCACCCGTTTTTGTCGGCGTGGCCATCGGCGCCTTCTTGTTTTTTGCCGACCTTGTTCGCAAAATCGACCTTCCCATTTCAGTTGATTTCGTTCGAGCTCAGTCCTATGGTTCTGGAACCTGCTCCAATGAAGCACCGATTGTTTCCTCTGATTTGAAGATTGACGTTCAGGGCCGCCATGTAGTCCTGGTACTTTTGCTCTCTTATCGTCGCGTGAATAAAGTTTTCTTTTGTTTTTTTTTTATCACCGAAGAATATGTTGATTTGATAAAAGTGTTTCGAGAGAATTCTTCATGGCCCACGTGAACGGCGCTTTGGTGAAATTAGTATTGCTTCAGAATTACAAACTCATGTCTCGAAAGTCCCATATTTTCCCCAGAAGGTTCATTATATGAAAATGTACAACTTGAAGAAATGGAAGAAAAATTACTTACAGTATTAGAGTAACTTGAGACATTTGTGGTAGCAACAGATAGTGAGGATAATTTGCGTCATTTGTCTGGTTAATTCGAAATAACGGCTGGAATGTTATTAGGTTCTTTATCTGAGAAAGAAAAAGAGTTAAGAAAATCTTCATTATAACTCCTAAACAATAATTAAAAGCCAAAGATTTCTTGTGTCTGTTGCTTCATCTTAGTAGATAAAGAAAACGGTTTATTTCATTCTGTATTACGTTTCCGTTGGTCATATGAGATCTGAGTTCGTGTCTCCCCCCCCCCCCCCCGGGGGTCTGCGAGAAATTCCTTTACTGGTGATAAATGTTATTTAACAGAAGTGATTCTCATCTCTAGGTGTAACGTCATTGTGGTCCCAAAAGGAGTAGAATTTAATGAACCAGAGAATATCTTAATTTCCCCCCTCTCTGTTGCAATTATACTGTCAGTTCCTTTAGTAGTTTAATCCCCCCATTCCCTTCTCCTGCATTCATATCCGACTTCATTTTCTTATGGGATTGTATTGTTGATAAATGATTAGGTTGAAGACATTGTAGATACGGGGCATACTATATCTAGCATAATTGCTCTCTTGAAAGCAAAAGGAGCATCCTCTGTCTCCGTGTGCACTTTCCTTGATAAACCATCAAGGAGAAAGGTTAACATTCAGCTAGTTGGCGAGGGGAAATTCTACAGGGGATTTGAGGTATAGTACTCCCTTTTTTTTTTTTGGGGGGGTCAATGAGGTATAGTACTCTAACCAATAGTCATTAAATATCTTTCAAAGTATGTACATATCTTCTCTCTATGATTCAGGCCTTTACCTTGCTGGAAATATGGTAGTATATAGTTTCTTCATAGTCGTTGTAATTTTCAAATTTTCTTCTGTAGCTTTTTTCTTTCTCTTCCTAATTGATACCATGTCAAAGTACCGACTTTGAATGCTCTGTAGCCTTTTGCTTTGAAATTCCTAATTGCCCTTTCTATTACTAAATTATCCCGTTAAACGTTTCCTTTCTCTGCAGTGCCCAAATTATTTTGTTGTTGGCTATGGGTTGGATTTTGCTGAACTGTATAGGAACTTGCCTTATATTGGCGTCTTGAAGCCTGAACATTACAGTTGACGCTATATCTCATCTGCCACGAGGTTTATGCATCAGTCTAATGAATTTTCCTCAACTTCACCCTCTCTGATTCAATTGAGTTACGGATTTCCATCCTTCTGTGATTTTTCAGGAATATAGTGAAATTATACAATGTTCTTTGAAGCTTTAAAGTTCCATTTCTCAGTAGTTTTATCTTGCAAGGACTCTGTTACAGTCTTTCGAATTAGCTTGAAGAAGCTTTTTAACGTGCATGAAAATATGTAATACACTCTCAAACTGGGCCTTCACATGTTTATGATCTATATTATTTTGATATTTGAATGTTGGCACATTGCGAAAAAGCATTAGGTTCCTTCAAAGATAAAAAGATTCTGAAAGTCAATGACTTTTGAAGGATGAAAAAATTTGGGTAAACATGGGAACAGAGAAACCAAAATGCCCTTTCTGATTATCTTACATACCGTTTCTGGATTCTGCCTCGTCATAAACTAATTACTTGCTTTACCTCATGGAGTTAAGTAGAAACTTACCTCTATGGGTTGTTCAGAGGAGCTTGATAGGTTTCTCATGGTGCACTGACAACAGAGCAGACATGAGTATTCCTGTTTGTGAAAGACTTTCCATATCATGGAGTTAAGCAGAAACTTACCTCTATGGGTTGTTCAGAGGAGCTTGATAGGTTTCTCATGGTGCACTGACAACAGAGCAGACATAAATATTCTTGTTTGTGAAAGACTTTCATATCCATAAACCCCTATGAGCATGAACTACGTAGCTTGCAGACATCAGTTATATGACATGACAAATGTCACTGCTGGAATCTTATATGGTTGTCTCATAGCCTGCTCTCCTGACCTGAATTTGCAGAAGATTATCCAAGGCACTTTAGGAACTGATATAGGCATTAATTTGCTAGTTTCGAACTGTATAGGTTTTTTTATCCTTGTTTGCTGATGTAAGTTTTAGGTTTTAGGTATTGGGTGCTTCTTCCCTTTTGTATGTACTCCTTAAAGATAATATTGTAATCAATAACCCCGGGGGGGGGGGGGACACTAGAGACCTTCAAAACTTGATAAGATTAAAGCGCAACGTTGTGGAGTTCTGGAATTAGGGTTAAATTTATCCATTCCAGTCTCATTTCAACTGGATACGTAGTTACATCCCTGAAATGCTCATGGGTTCGTCGAACTTAAATATTTTCTCCGCATTAATTGTGCAGCTCCTGAAGAAAGCTGGTGTTGGAAAACTCAGTTTCCATATTTGACAAGCTCAGATAATAAAGAATTATACTACATGCATTGGGGGCAGCAGAATGGTGACCCTGAGGTTTTGATTGTGCTCCAATGGAGTCAGAAGTCCCACCCCCTTAAGCTTCAAAATAATGACTTTCCCAATCCCAACTTATTCAGTACTAGTCGCTTCGTTAGGGAGAGTTTGTGCTTTAGTAAGTAGAGTTTAGTAGTATAAGAAATTTATGCAAATGTACTTTTGGTTTTATTATTGGTGTCATTGCTTGAACATGAAGGGAAGGTTCTTTGGTAGAAAGTCCTTCATGAAATATGTTTATCATTTATGAATATTTTGAAGGGCCATAGTTACCCATTATAGGTTAGTAACTTGTAGTTTGCCAAGAGCCAAAGGCACAATTTGGCTGAGAAGCTCACCGAAGATATGAGAGACTAAATGCTAGGTTGGTAAACTCCATCCATAATCACTTCAAAAAAAAAAAAAAAATCACCGAAGATATGGGAGACTAAATGCTTGTTTGGTAAACTCCATCCATAATCATTTTAATTTTTTTTTTCATGCTTTATGAGATAAATTTTTTTTTTCCACATGCTTTGTACAACACAAAATTACCTAAAATAATCTGATGTAAATACCTCCGAGCATCACTTGGCAAGCACTTGAAGAGTAAGGTGTAAAAGACCAAAGTTGAAATTTCACATAAGGCCAAAGCAAGTTATTGTTTATTCCAATCTTTAAAATATTGGAAATATTTTGTGCCTTGTACAAGAAATTAAAAAAAAAAGTATTTATATTTTTATCGTTATTGCTACTTTATTATTAACTGTTTATTAAATCCTATGTCATACCTTTAGATATTATTATTTGCCGTAAAATTGTCAAGTCAGCATCCACTTAATATTTAACTTAATGAAGTTTTAATGTCTTCATGCATCACGCGTGGACGTAAAATCTAGCTTTGATAATGCTTTATTCATGGTCCCTAATTAAGAGGAATGAAGTTAGAAAGTCATGTTACAAAATTATCCAAGAAGAAAAGACCCATTTACTTTGACATCAATAAACTAAAAAAAAATTGTATTACACCATTCTTACATTTTAATTCACATATTTTATTAGGTGTAGGTACAATGGAGCTAACGGTCGATCAACGAATGTTATTCTAACACATCAATGATTCACTCTTTATCTTCTCATGAAATCTGGAGAGTTTCTTTCTTTCTTTGTTTTTTTTTGCTTTGCAAGTGATGCTCCTCTTTTTAAAGTTATTCTTCTTTATCTGTCACGCCTTCCGTATCATCAAGAAATATTTCATAGAGATGTTTCAGTTCATTGTCAGCGCTGAGTATGGATATAGTGTATGTGTATAGTACAAATATGGTCAAAGGAATGGTCTATTGCAAAAGGACAAGAAATGTTTCTCATAGTCATTGTCCTCTTGGAGTAAAAACATTCAAAGAACTATGCGAACAAGAAACGATTAGACATTAGGGGCAGATAAAAAAAAAAAAGTGAAAACTGCTGGAAAAATCTTTCCTGGGAAAATTTATTACCTAAAAATAACTCAAATTTGTCTAAGAATTCAAGTGTAACTTATTTCTTGATTTGTGCGTGTCATCCTTACGCAGGGGCTATGCTGATCTTATTCTTAACGAGCACAACTCTTTTTCGGTTATGTGCAACTTATCTCCAATGTATGCAAAACTAAAAAGTGTTTATATCTTTAGATAATAAATTTTATAATAGGAAAATTTGACAGTAAGCTGTGTTTATATTTTGTTCATAACATGGCCAATTATGTTATATGAGGGAAAAAATAATTCTCTAGTCATAAATATAAGACTCATTTTATAGTATAAATTACATTTCAATGTGGGTCTTAAATTTAGCACCGGATGAATATAAGATTTAGTACATATAAGACAATTGAAAAGTTAAAATGACATAACATAACAAGAGAGACTATGATTGTAAATATCACATCTGATGGCCAAATTAGAACTACTAACAAACTAAAAGTAAAAAGATATTATCAATTCTCCTGTAAAAAAAAAAAAAGAAGAAGAAGATATTATCAATTAACTTCCAACTAGCATGAGGAAGACCCAAGCTACAAATCAAGGCAAATGCTGCTGCCAGTGATTTGCTTCAATTCATGTGTTTAATGAAGTTACTTGATTTATTATGGTGAAATACATGCTCTAAAACCTGTGACAACCAAAAATCAGGAACACACAAGAGAGGTATGATGTGAGAGGTCCTTCATCAGTTCAATAAAGGGCTTCCTCTCCCAGCTGTTTCATCTACAACAAGGGAGGCTGCATAGCATAGATGCATCTTTGGACATCAAAAGAACTGGCACAAGAACAACCACAAGAAATGAGTAGAAATGAAGATACAAGAAAGGAGAACACTTGTGTATTTATGATTATGTACTTAATATACTTTTATCCAATCAAATAAAAAGTAATGAATCTTGAAGTGTTTAATAATATAAATAACATGGGTTTGCTATAAAAATAATATATATATATATATATCTAAATAAAATTCATATGTTTGATTTGGGAGTGCTTGACAAGCTTGTTAAAATCACTTTTGGAGCCCAAAACACGGTTTGACCCAAGTTGCCAAACACCCCACATTTTTATGAGACTATGGTTTAACCCATCAAAATCATGGTTTTATGAAAACAAAAAAAAAGTTATTTTTTGAAAATATGGTCTTTTTTTTTATATTATAATACTACTTCTGGTCCTTAATATAAGAACTAGTTAACTAATTTGAGTAGAATAAAAAAATTAGTTAAGTTAGTTACTTGTAATAAATAGGTGTTATCTTTCCTAAAATTCTCTTTATGATCATGTATATTAACTATAAGTACCATTTGATAAAATATTTAACATCTACAACTACTATAAGAACTATTTTGAAAAAATGGATAAATATGAGAAACAAAATGGATTGAGATTTTATAATTAGAATAAACTAAATATCAAAATAACTCTTATATTCCTCTAATCCTTAATATAGGATCTAATTGTTAAGTAAATTTTGATCCTAAATATAAGACCTATTTATCATATTTATCAATTTTTCCTAAATTATCTCTATAGATACTTCCTCAACCATAATCAAATAAGTGAGGAAAGAAGGATATTAAAAAAGATGATTATGGTATTCTAAAAAAAATGTTATATTTCTTATAATTAACTAACTTGCTTAACTTCATTAATCTAATCAGATTAGTTAAATAGGTCTTATATTAAGAATAAAAGGAATATTAAAGATAAGATGTAGTATGTTGTTAAAAAAACTAGTAAAATGTTATGGGATTTCATATTTAAAATCTTTAAAGCAAAATAATATTTTTGCGTTGACCAAAAAAATAATCATTTTTCTAAAAACGTATTTAATTTTATATTTTATAAATACATCTACACATATTAATTATTTAGTAATTATATTTTTATATGTTATTTATAACATCTATCTTTTATGTAATTATCACCTATTTAGTGAAGATAGGCAAAAAATATATTATTGACAAATTTATTGCTTCAAATAAAAATATATTATAACATTTATTTTTATGTAATTATCACATTAACTTATATCTTTTTTAATAATTTGCATATATAAAAAGTGTTTTTGATAACAACTATCTAAATACTTTTATTTTATCATAATTACTTTTTCACAAAATATAGTCTTCTAAAATCTATTTTTGAAAATAATTTTTTTTCAGAAACTTTTTTCCAAATCATGACTTCATTTTATTCAAACAAACTAATTGAGTATATAAGTTTTTTCTCAGAGAGAAATATGGTCCAAGAAGAAGTAGGATTGGCAGAGACATTTTAGGGTGAGGAGAACGATGAGATTGACGTTTAAGAAAAAAGAAAGTTGACATCTTGACGGATGGGTTTGCTCATTGGTTTTGTTTTGTGCCCCAATGCATTTGCTATTTCGAATGTATTCATTTTTCCCTGCTCTCTCTTTTATTTTAGGGAAAATGGCTAAAAAAACCTTGAAAGGAGGAGATTCCAAAAAGAATAGCTAACACTTCCAAATAACAGAAAATGAAAGAAGGCATGAATGGAAATAATGAAAATATGGGAAAATGACCAATATACCCTTGTGTCATTTTGGGAAAATAACTAGATTTGATCTGAAAATAACAAGATTACAACATAAATTAACAAGATTGGGATACAAAATAACAACATTCTTTTCTCAAATGAAAACATATGTCCATTGGAAAAAATGACTAAATTTGATATGGAAATAACAAGATTGAAACATAAATTAACAAGTTTGGAATACATAATGGCAATATCATTTTATGAGCATCACACAAGGGCATACTGATCATTTCTCCACATTTCCATAATTCCGATTTAGGCTTTCCCTCCTTCCGTTTAATTTGGAAATATTACATGCCTTTTTGGGATTTTCTATTTTCAAGGTTCTTTTTTAGTCATTTTCCCTCTATTTTATTTGGTTTGTAACATCTTAGAATGCTAAAGCTATGTAATTAATGAATTAATTTGGATTAAGTTGCGATTTGAGATATAAATTGAGGTTTAGGATGACTTCTTAGATAAAACGAGGTTCATATTTGAGACATAGGAACAATTAAGAACAATTTTTAGACAAGATAGAATCGAAAAGGAAGATTTTGGGTTTGAACACGACAACACCAACTTCAATCACTTGACCTCCAGTAGCATTGATAAGAAGGCAAAAGAAAGGCTGAGTGGATTTCTTTTTGCAATTTGGGATTTAAGTCTTTTTTTTTTTGGTGAAAGGGAGATTTTATTAACTAGAAAAAGAACAGTACATCTCGGAGAAGATTACGCAAGAAAGCAGCAAGTAAAAAAGGGATTAACAAAAAATAACAACTTCAACATCCTAAGAAAAGGTGTTGAACGGTCCAATGAGTTGTCAGGTCCTAGAAGTTTGATCAGCTATGGCAGCAGCACCTATAATAATCGATTGAGCTATGAATGAGTCCCCTGCAAAGAGTCTTCAGTTTCGGGCATCCCAAATTTTCCAAGTGATTATGCCGAAAATGAGGGACCACCTTGAGCTAGAGTGTGTTGGGTTCAGGTTCTTCAGCCACCAATCCTTTAGCGGTGTGTTAATGAAGCTGAGAGTTGGTGTTGAGGCAGGATTAATTTCCAGCAAGCTATAGCTAGAGGGCATTGGCGGAATATATGATCAGTAGTTTCATCTGCCCTATTACAGAGTTCGCACGTTGCCTCAGTGGTCATGTGTTTGCGCAAACGTTCAACATTGGTGAGAAGCCTATCCTTGAAAGCTAGGCAAAGGAAGGATTGAACCCGTTGGGCACCTTGCCATTGCCAAATAAGCTTCCAGCAATATGCTTCATCTGCCCAGGAGTCTTCTTCAATTATCTTATAGGCCGAGACTGAAATGGCTCCATTTACTGTCAGGTTCCAAGCGTAGGCGTCGGTCCCCCCGAGGGGGAGGGTGGCGACATAGCAGCTATTTGGAGATTGATGGACATAGGTAGTTGGTCTTGGAACATGTCCCATTTCCAATTCCCGTCCTAATCGATAAAATCTCGAATGGGTTGTGCTAAAGCTTGATGACTTATCTCGCAAAAAGCTAGATGCTTTAGCGGCCCCAATTCTCCTATCCAATTGTCAGACTAGAATCTCACATTTTCACCATTCCCGACTTGCCACTTGATCCCCAAAGAGGTGGTAGGCCAAGCCTTTGAAATGCTTCTTCAGGTATGCGAGCAAGCCTGCATTTTGAAATCAGAACTCCTCATCAGTGACTAGTTATATTTTGCTCTTAGAACCTGTACCCATAGGAGGTTTGGCTTGCTGGCTAGGTAAAAACCAAGTTTGGCAAGAAAGGCACTATTCTGGCTTTGCAATTTTTTCAAACCACATCCTCCATTCTGTGTAGGTTGACATAAATCATCCCAACACACTAAGTGGGTACTTCTATGTGTGGTGTCCGATCCCCAAATGAAGTCTCTAATTATTTTCTCAATTTGATTGCAGCAGGAAGCTGGAAGTGACAAGGTTTGCATGGCATAATAAGGTATGGCTGAGAGAACTGATTTGGCAAGTATAATCCTTCCTGCAAGGGAGAGTGTATGACCTTTCCAAGCAGAGAGCTTTTGTTGAGTTTTCTCCATGATATATGCATATGTGTCTTTAGTAACTCTTGAGTGGAGAAGCGGGACGCCCAGGTATTTGCCAAGTTCATCTGTTTTGTTATAGCCCAAGTGAGCACAAATACGGTCAGAGTCTCTCTTTTGCACGTTCTTGGAGAAGAAAATGCGAGTTTTGGCTTGACTAATGGAGTGACCTAATACAACACAGAAATCATTCAGTACCTTTTTTATCAAATCAACTTGGCTAGGAGATGTGGAACTAAAAAGGATGAGGTCGTCTGCAAAAAATAGATGGGAAAGAGGGGGGCCCTCTTTTCCCATCTTAATGGTCTCCCATTTACCGGTGGTAACCTCTGTTCTGATTAGCTGAGACAACCGCTCCATGCAAAGCACAAAGATGTAAGGTGACAAAGGGTCCCCTTGACGGATTCCTCGAGAGGGGTGGAATGATTCTGATGGCGAGCCATTCTAGAGGACTTGCATTGTGGGAGATGAGATACAGTGCATAATGATCCTAGTTATATTTGCTGGGATTCTTGCGTCTCTAAGTGTTTCTTCAATGAATTCCCGTTTAATCTTGTCAAAGGCTTTTTCTAGATCTACCTTGATGGCCATCCATCCTTTCTTTCCAGTTTTGCGTCTCATGGAATGTATGACTTCTTGTGCAATAATGATGCTGTCAGTGATGTTCCTTCCCTGAATAAAGCTAGACTGGTAGGGAAGAATAAGCTCTGGCATGAGGGCCTTGAGATGGCTGGCTATGATTTTTGTGAGCATCTTGTAGACAACTGTGCAGAGGCTAATGGGTTTGAAATCCTTGAGTTTGCGTGGTCTATCAGCCTTGGGGATCAAAGTGATGAGAGTTTTGTTATGCACAGGGTCTATGATTCCACCCTCAAAGACTTGTTTAACCATTCCACATAAGGAAGCGCCTACCACATCCTAGTGAAGCTGATAGAAAAGAGCATGAATACCATCTACTCCTGGTGCCTTTAGAGGTTTCATATCGAAGAGGGCTCTTTTTAGTTCCTCTGTTATTATAGAGTCAGATAAGGTCAGCCAAGAAGAGTCAAGGAGGACAGGAAACATACCTTGGTGGTGATAGGCCCTACGCGGCTCGGCATTGGTTGAGTATAAAGAATGGAAAAATTACTTTGCCATAAGGAGCAGATTTTGTTCATTTGATTCCCTCGTTCTATCCTCCTTTTGGAGGCAAGTGATTCTATTTTTGCGATTTCGAATACGCGCCTTAGTGTGGTAGAAGGCAGTGTTACGGTCCCCCAGAGTTATCCATTCACTTCTGGATTTTTGGAGCCAAAGGAGCTCCTCTTGTAGGCACACATCCTCATAATCTATGCATAAGGAATGATCTAGCTCTAGGAGGTAGGAGGATGGAGTTTGGTCTGCCAAGGCCTTTTGAATCTAGGGGTGGAAATAGGCCAGGCCGCCTGTCAAGGGCCTGTGGCCTGGCCTGGCCTGGCCTATTTCCATATAAGAACAGGCTTAGGCTTCTTTAAAAGCCTGTTTATCTTATCAAGCCAGGCTCAGGCTCTCTAAGAAGCCTATTAGGCCTGTCAGGCGGCCTGAGCCTGTTAGTATTTTTTTAAGGTTATAATGGTAAATCTGATATAACCTATGTGAGCCACTCAATTTTAACCTAGGCGCCGCACTTCTCATCCCATCTCCGCATTCGCTTCGTCTTCTTCTCGAGTCACTCAACACTTCATGCAGAAGCAAAGCCTTCGGCCTTCATTCAATCACAGCCTTCGCCCTTCACCGTCAGGTCGCACTTCGCCTTTCAACTCGCTGCTCCGTCTCCGACTTCTATCCAGGTATTTTGAAGAGATGTTCTTATATATATATAGAGAGAGAGAGAGAGAGAGTCGTGAGCCTGTATATATGACCACCTTTCCCCCTTTTTTAATCATTACTTTAGAGAAATATCAATGAACATACATTTAATCAAAGGATAATCGTGGTTAATCATTTGTAAACTGCTAACATTATTATGCTTTAGAAAAAGATTGATGAATGTATATTTAATAACCTGGAAAGAAGATAAAGAAGAGCTGTGTTTGTAGAGGATGATCGAGATTGAAGGCCCTATATATTCATGAGGAGTAAAATTCAAAGTACTTCGGCTAGAGACAAAGGAGATTAGTTATTTTATTATTAGTGTTTATTATTAGTGTTTGTTTCAGGAATAAAACAAAGAAACCGACTTGTTCAATTTGATTTTGTGATTAATTTCACTCAATTTGTACAGTTTGATTCTTATTATTGTTATGCAACTATTACAGTTTTGGATTAATTTTAAGAAAGAAATTGTAATATAAATTTGATTTCTTTTGCTGAAGGTGTTCAAACAAGAAGAAGAGATTGTATTGAAGATTTGATGCTTTACGGTTTGAAGATTTGTTGTAATTGTAACAAGAAAAAATTGTGTTGATTTGAATATTTCATTTTTATGTTCAAATTTTAGATAATTATTGTAATTTTGGATTTATTTATGTATGTTTAAAATTTGTTAAAAATACAGGCTTCTTAACAGGCTTCAGGCCAGGCCAGGCTTGGTTACAGGCTAGGCTTAGGCTGAACAATAAGCCTATCACAGGCCACAGGCCAGGCTCAGGCTAATAGACCTCAATACAGGCCGAGCCTGTTAAGCGTGGAGCCTGGCCTGGCCTGGCTTGTTCCCACCCCTATTTGAATCCTAGAGATGTGGGCTCTGAGTCATCTCTTCTTCCTTCCAATCTGATTGAAGACTTCTTGGTTCTAGTGGGATGCAGCTAAGGAGAAGTTGGAGATATTCTCCGAGAGGGTAAGCCTAGAGTCCCAGTTATCCTGAACTAATTTGGGGAAGGTATGGTGGGTTTCCCAAGTAGTGAGGAATTTGAAATCTTTAGGCTTTTTGTTTGCAAATATGGGGGCACCAAAATTTATCCAGAGGGGCCTGTGGTCTGAACTGATTTGCGGTAGGTGTTGAACTGTGGAGTTGGGAAAACAATGCATCCAGTGGGTGTTGGAGAGTGCTCTGTCTAGGCGAGCTAAAGTGAGCTCACATCTCCAAGTGTAGAATGGGCCTACATAGCCCAAGTCAATGAGCTCATTAGACTGAATAAAGGAATGGAAAAGGCGACATCCTCGTCTTCGTTCACTGGCGCCTCCTTTCCGTTCACCTGAGCTTAAAGTGGCATTGAAATCGCTAGCAAGTAACCAAGGTTCATTGGAATCAGGCGCAATACTGGAGAGGTCACTCCATAGATTAACTCTCCATTGGGGTTTTGGGCTAGCATAAATTGCTGTAAAGAGAAAGCTTTGTCTTTGGTTAATCAGATTGACACAGCAGTGGATGAATTGTTGATGGTTTTTGAGTACTTTGATCTTTGTCAAACTGGACCAAAGAACCCAAATGCCTCCTGAAAATCCATTTGCTTCCACTTTGTGAGAGCGATACATGCCAATTTTCTTTATTACTCTGTCCTCCTTGAGACCAGAGATTCTGGGTTCCACTAGGACTACTAGATCAGGTTTATAATCCATTAGAAAAGATTTGAGCACTGCGTGGAATTTGTTGGTTGCAGTGCCCTAGCAGTTCCAAACAAAAGATGACATAAATAGAAAAGACAAGAGGGTTGACGGAGTCTTAGCACTCCATATTCAGTTGTCCATCCCCTTCTTCATCGTCAACAGTGTTCTCTTCTGCGTGGATTTAAGTCTTTCTTTTTGCTATACACAAGTAATTTTATATTAAAGGTAATTTTGTTGGAGGTAGTGTCAAGTACTAAATATGAATACTTCTCCTAATAAAGATTTGAATTTTGGATCATCAAGTTGTGCGAAACCGTTCTTTTCTATTAAACCTAATCTTCATTAGTTGGGATTTAGGTCTAATGAGATAAGAGGCTAATAAATTAGGCTCTCATGATATTGTTACTTTTATCCTATTTGATTAGATATTTCATATACTATTACAATTACATTCAAGTCACTTATCATTAAGGTATTCAACTTGTCCCGTCCTGATCTTAGTTAGTTCGGGACAAGACAGGACAGAAAGAGTATTTTTTTTAGAAAAATTATTTATTAATAATTATTATTAGATGATTCAATTCATTTATTATTATTAATAATAATTATTATTTTTATATTGATTTTCAGCTCTTAAGTTGCAGTGTTATCTTAACAAAATCTCCTTCCTCAATAAAATAATTCATAAAACTACTATATAATGTTTCTTTTATGGTTTTTTTAGTATTGTTTTTATATTGTTTTATACTATATAATTGAGTTTTCGACATAATATTTTTTATAATATTTTTATCTTTAGAAGCCTAATAAAAAATAAATCTTATAACATAAAAAAAAATCATACAAAAAATTATATTTTTTTTTTAAAAAAAGGAAATGAGATATCCCATTCTTGTCTTGACTTCATCTTGTTGGGATTGAGACAGAACTGGGACAGGACAGGATATGAGACAAAAATCCCATCCAGCTCCTGTTCACGAGGATAAACCTATCCTGATCTCATCTCGTCTTGTCTTGTAAATAATCCTACTTATGAAGAGAAAACTAAATTTAGGGGCTTATTTGTGATTAATTGTTTTATCAAGACCCATTTATAACTCTTCCCTTTCCCTTACCGTTGTCACCATCCAAAATATCAAACCTCTATCAACGTGTGAATCTTACCCAAACAGGGGTGCTCCGACAACTCTCCTATGGCGGGAGCTACGGGCAGAGCCCTTATCACTCTCTCTCTAAACTCCAACCTTTCACCCTTCGTACGCTTATCTCATGGCCACACCATTCCATTTCTCAATCTGTCTGCAAGACGCTGCAGGGTTTTGCTAGGGTTTAGACACCTCTGTTCTGTCACCTCCACCGCTACGGCCACCGTTTCCGACACGACGGAGTCCATTGATCCTGACCAAATCAAGCACTCAATTCTTCTTGAGAGACTCAGATTCAGGAACCTTAAGGACTCCACTAAAACCCCAGAAATTAAGAATTCAACGAGGTCAGTTTCTGTCTCTGAAAAGGGTCGTGAGAATGAGGGGAAGAAGTCAGAGAAGAAGAAGTTTGTAGGAAGTTTTGAGGAGTTGGGCCTCAGCGATGAGGTAATGGGAGCCGTGAAGGAGATGAATATTGAGGTTCCCACGGAGATTCAGTGTATCGGCATCCCTGCTGTCTTGGAAGAGAAGAGTGTCGTTTTGGGATCTCATACTGGTTCTGGCAAGACTCTTGCTTACATGCTTCCCCTTGTTCAGGTACTTGGTCGCTTGTAAAACCTGACCTGATGTTTGGATGGGGAGCTTGCTTTAGTTTAGGTGTGGTGTTAGTTTCATGGGAGTAATTTGCAATTTTGTGTATATACTTCGGTCATACTTCCACCATTTAGAATGCTACTGTTTAATTGCAAAATACGCGAGACTTGCTTTTATTGAGCAGTGCATTTTGTGTTCCTGATGTTGGTATTCTACAGCCATTTCTTGTGTTAATAGTTATATAGCTTTAATTAGTAACCATCCTATCTGGTTGTATATTAAGAGAAGCTGATCGACCCTGTTAATTTGTTCATATAGTTGCTTAGACGGGATGAACAATTGAATGGATTGCTTATGAAGCCCAGGCGTCCCCGAGCTGTTGTGCTATGCCCTACGAGGGAGTTGTCTGAGCAGGTACTTATGCAATTTATTCATTATTTAGGGATCACGTAGAGTTTTCTGGTTGCATGACTAAATTATTGTATGATTGGACGTATAGGTATTTCGAGTTGCAAAATCTATCAGCCACCATGCAAGAATAAGGTCTACTATGGTAAGTGGGGGTGGCCGTCTCAGGCCTCAGGAGGATTCATTAAATAACCCCATTGACCTGGTTGTTGGTACTCCGGGTAGAATTCTGCAGCATATTGAGGAAGGCAATATGGTATACGGTGATATCAAATACTTGGTAGGTTTCCAACCATATGATATTCTTCTTAATTTTTAATACCATTATTCAGTTGTTCTACATTTTTTAATCTGCTGTATTTCTAATAAGTGTTCTTTGAAAAACTATCTCAGTTCTCATTTTTCTTCATGTGGAAGCTCTTGCACTTACTGATGGTGGATTTATTTTGCAGGTATTGGATGAGGCAGACACAATGTTTGATCGAGGTTTTGGTCCTGATATTCGCAAGTTTATTGGCCCGCTAAAGCATCGTTCATTAAAACCTGATGGCCTAGGTTTTCAGACTATCCTGGTTACTGCTACCATGACAAAGGTATGCTAACTTACATCACCATTTTTTGTTACTTTGGAAAATTCCATTATATCTAAATGAAAGTGAATTTGTGCGGTACCACTATTGATGGTTAAGTTCCACAATTGACATTTGTGCGTCTTGCAGGCAGTGCAAAAGCTTGTTGATGAGGAATTTCAGGGCATTGTGCATCTACGAACATCAACACTACATAAAAAGATTGCTTCTGCTCGTCATGATTTTATTAAGCTGTCGGGTTCTGAAAACAAGCTGGAGGCATTACTGCAGGTATTTTTTTGCGTACCATCCATTTGCTTTGCACATGTGATCAAGTGGTTGGTTTCTGTGGCTCTATAGAGATCTAGTTGTATAAAGAATTCTGGCAACAAAAATGCTGTTTCTGTCTGTTTCTCTTCTTGCCACAAAACTTCATGACTTCGTTTGGAGGTATGACCTTAAATGAGTAGGGTGGGATGCTTGTTTTAAGCTATGGAGTTGTGGTATATATGGAAATTTCAAGTTTCAATTTTTTAATTGCTGCTGATTGTGAGTTTTACTTGACCAATCCTTTAACTTCTCTGTGAATGATATCTCTCATTTCTTGGTACTATAGGATGTCGTGCCAAAGTCATCCCAGTAATGCAGATTGGAAAGTTGCTTTAGGTGCTTGGTAATTAATGGTCATGATATTATGACACCGATGAAGCATAATAATATTCTATTATTAAAGTATAAATCCTTCTTATCTTACTCATCAGCCATGATGGGAGAGACAGAAGAAGAGAAGCAAGCTCAAACTGGCAAACTAATAGATGTCAACATCACCGAAGCAAAAATCAACATTCTCTTCCTCCGCCCCCCCTTTTTCTGCATTGCATGCCCAACATTTTGTTTTATTCTTACGCACGCATGCTTTGTTATGATGCCTACAGTGCATGCTCTTCATTGGTACTAATCTGTCGGTACCTTTGGCTTTCTTGATAAGATTATCTGTGGTTTAGACAATTTTTAATTCACTGGATATTTATCATATGTTGTTCGGTCATGTGTGTACAGGTTCTGGAGCCAAGCCTGGCAAAGGGGAATAGAGTGATGGTTTTCTGCAATACATTGGATTCTAGCCGTGCAGTGGATCATTTTCTCAGTGAAAATCAGATAGCTACTGTCAATTACCATGGAGAGGTACCAGCAGAGCAAAGGTCGGTGCTAATTTCACCCTATTTATCTATTTATTCCTTCCATTCTCTAATATGTTGCAGTCTCTGGAAGTTCTGCTGTCAAAGTGCTTAGATGAGTAATGTCATTTCGGAGATAACTGCATTGTTGACAGATATGACTGTCATCATCCAGTTCTGTTATGTTCTTTATATTGTTACTTGTGGCAATGGACTAGTTTCTAGTTTTTGTGTCAGTTTATTATTGATTGCTTCATTAATCTTTGATAGGTAAAAGCATAACCTCAGGTTAAGGACCCGATACAATTGTGCATGTCTGTAATAATCTTGTTTTGTAACTTGAAGACACCTGTCAATGCGGATGTTACATGTCTTGCCTGCTCAAAAGAGTTAATAGGATTTCATACAACTAAAATACTTCAATTTACACAAAAGTTTGACCAAAGAAAAATGATTTGACCTAAGGGAAATGTTTATCATGCACAGTATGTTACATCACTTCCCAAGTATGAAAACAACTTGCATAAGGGCCTGGTGAGGTTGAAATTCAATCATCTTATCATTATATATACACTTTGTTGCCTGTTTGTGATGTATCTTACAGTTCCTTTATTTGAAACTCAGGGTTGAAAACCTCAAGAAGTTTAAAAATGATGAAGATGATTGCCCTACATTAGTTTGCACAGACTTGGCTGCTAGGGGTCTGGATTTGGATGTCGATCATGTTATCATGTTTGATTTCCCCTTGAACTCTGTGAGTATCATCTGGGTTACCAGGATTTTCATTTTGCTCTACTCCCACTTCCCAACACCCAAAATAAATAAAGAAAAAAAAACCTCCCTCTATCAGTTTTGTACCAGTTACTGAGCATTACTATTCATCCTATTTCAGATTGATTACCTTCACCGCACTGGTAGGACAGCTCGTATGGGTGCAAAAGGTGCTGATTTTTATCATGCTTTTATCTATTTTAAGAATTCCCTGAAATTTAGTTCTATCTACAGTCTAAAATAAGTTAAAATATAGATAGAACCAGTAAACAATTGTTTGACCTATTGTTTCTGAATGATCTAGATATAGTTTTACTACAATTATTTATTGACTTCTTGTTGCTTATACATGGGCAGAGTACGGCATGAATTATTGTGTTATCATTACAAATATTCTGGATGCAAAACGCCATGCTGCTCCCTATATTCTAAGCTTTCAAATGCCCACTGAATCTGGCATTTTTACGGATAATTCCATTTCTTTTGTGGGAGTTCCAAATGTACAGTTTTATGAAGCCATAGATTTTCTATCAAATTTATATACAAACTGGCTTACAAAAATTATGATTGATGATTAGATCTTTAGCCTATGTTTTTGCAGAGTTTAAATAATATGGCTTATTTTATGTTATATATAGAAATAGAAAATCCTTTTTTTTTTTGGTGGGTTAATTTTTTCTTTTGACCAAATTTGGTGGGTTAAATTAAATATCCTCTTTTCTATGCAGGGAAGGTAACTAGCTTGGTTGCAAAAAGAGACTTAACCTTGGCCACTCGAATAGAAGAAGCAATAAGGAAGAATGAGAGCTTGGAGGCTATCAGTAAAGAAAGTGTTAGGAGGGAGATTGCTAGGACCCAAATAACTCAGCAGAAGGGGAAGAATAACAAATTGGTAAAGGTTTCCAAAGGGAAAAGCACTTCTACTGTCCGTGCCACTTCCAAAAAAGCATTGAAGAAGCCCACTGTATCAAAAGTATTAAAAAGTTCTTCTAGTGTTAACACTGGTTCGAGAAAAGTATCCAAACCATTAAAATCAGCAAAGGCAGGAGGGATTCAGGTTAAAAAATCTGTAAGATCTTCCAATGCAAGTAGCCTGAGAAAAGCTTCAGCAGGGAAAAAGCAAACAATTAAAAGAAAGAGTGCTGGCAAATCAACAAATTCTAAACTGAGTGTTGTTGGTTTTAGGGGGCGGAGTTCCTCAAACAAGAGGGAATCACAATTTTGAATTTGCATGTGATCATGCTGTACAAAACTATCAATTATGTACAAGTTTCTTTTTTAATCATATTTTTGCTCAATGCATCTTCTCCAAATCCATTTGGTTTTGCTATTTTATCTCTTTGTACTTCATGTTGTCGCCAAACTGACTTAAATTACTAGATTTATGATTTTATCCACGCTCAGCGTGCCACAGGGGGATGATAATATTGACCTATTCAAATCAATGACAATCATTTTAAAGATCATCTGGTCTTCAAGGAATGTGGCTGCACATCATGGCTACTTCCCTCACCCATCCTAACTGATTGGATAATGTCAGAGTCAACGTTTTCTTTTGAATCAGGTTTGCACATGGAGCTCAGAATCTTTTATGGATATATCTACGGTGATATCAACTTCGTTTCAGTAGAAAATTGTTCACTGCCGTATGATCATTCAGTTGGATTCTCAGACTCTGACCAGCATCTCTGAGGAAAAAAACGGATGTCACTTTGCACTTCTACTTGTCTTGCTTTTGGTCGGTTTTAAATATGTCAGTTCATTTTATCTCTGACTTATAGAATTTTTTTAAATTAGCCTTATAAATTGTGCATATTAGAAATGTTTCTATCAAGAGATAGTTCTAACATGAGAAACACTTATTGAGAAGATTTTAATCTTAACACTTATGGCAGATTTAGTTTTAATTTCAACGTGACTTAAAAATATTGAGTTGCGCAAAAAATATTTTTATCAAGAGACAATTCTAATATAAACGATTAACAGGGTAATTTTAAAAACTAATACATATTTCCTATAAATAATTAACTAAATTAATTTTTTAATCTTTATAAATTAATTATCTAGTTTTTATGTTCATGATTGGAGTAAATATTAAAAAATACCGTTGTTATTGAGGGAAAAAAAAACATAATATATAGAGCATATTTTAATACAAATTCTTTCTCACCTTCTTGAATGGTAAATGGTAAGTGCACATCCAACTAACTTCTATGCTTTTTTTTCATGTGCTCTCTCTCTCTCTCTCTCTCTCTCTAATCAAAGACCTAAATACGCCCAATATGAAGTTACTGGTGGCATGCCTTGTTGTTATATTTATTTCCAGGTAAGTAACAAAGGACGAGGAGTTTTGGGTTGAGTGACGATATTGCCCTCGGAATCATAAATAATGACACCTGAGAAGTCAGGGAGCTGGCACTTGCCACCCATCAGAATGTTCTTCTGCCAAACGGAAGGGGGAGCTGTTTCCCGCTGCTCTGTCTCTGACGATGTCGTCACAGTATTCACAGTTGCCACATTCTGAATTTCTATCACTGGCTCTGGATCCTCCCCGAAGAACCAGCTGCTCCAGCTCTGACGACGTCGTTTCGTGGAATGAGAAGCGCACATCAGCAACGCAAAGGCACACAGGAAAACGCTCACCACTGCGAAGCCAAGCTGTGAAGAAGAAGAAGAAGACTGTAGAAGAAGGTGGTTCTGTGGAAGCCAGCGAGCCATAGAAGATGGTGTTTCTGTGCCTTTGACGCTGTGAGACACAAGGGTATTTATATTTATAGTGATGTTTAATGCTTTCGGTTTGAGGTCCAGGACAAAAAAAAAAAAAAGAAAAGGAAGAAGCTTTGGTGTTACCGGATGTTTTAGGTGTTGGTTTAGGTTTTGGTCCTTTTGAAGGATTAGTTAAAGCTTTGGTCTTAGTGGTTTTAGCTTGGAGATGTGTGGTGGTTTTAGTATTATTTGACTTTGACTTTGTTGCCTTCCTTTTTTGAGAGCTAGCGGATCATTTGACTTTGACTTTGTTGCCTTCCTTTTTTGAGAGCTAGCGGATCAGTTCGTTTTTTCTTTCTTTCTTTCTTTCTTTCTTTCTTTCTTTCTTTGTTATGGCAGTCAACATGATCTTAGAAGAGCTTACGTAGTCCCTTCATAACATGAACATACATAATTAGTAATAACGAAATGAAAAAAGGAGGCTAAAGAACCGGAAATATTAGAAAAGTTAGATACTATCACGATCCTAATTATAAGAGCTAGTTGACTAATTTGAAGAAATTGAGAAAAAAAAAGTTAAGTTAGTTATTTGTAATAAATAAGTGTTGTTTTTCCTAAAATATCTTTACTAATCAAGTGTGTTGGCTAAAATTATAATTATTGGAAAGACTATCTTGAAAAATTGAGTAAATATGAGAGACAAAATGGATTGACGTTTTATATTTAGGATCAATATAAAAGTCAAATGAAATCTTATATTAAGTAATAAAGGTAGTATATCTTATCAGATCAGATGACAGATTGCTGATGATGGGAAGATGCTAGATTAAGGGTGTGTTTGGTATGAGGGATTTGGGTGGGAGGGGAGGGAAGGGGAGGGATTTTAATCATTTCCCCTTATTTGGCAACACACAAATTTTAGGAGGGGAGGGGAAATTTTAAATCTCCCCTCTAAAATTGGGAGGATTTAGAGGGAAATGGCAATATTTTGTCATATTATGACCATTATACCCATATTTTGTCATGTTGTGACCATTATGTCTATATTTTGTCATGTTGTGACCATTATGCCCACGCCTTAAATAAAATAAGAGCAAAATTATCCATATTAAAATATTTTTCCCTCCCCTCCCCTCTTTTTTTATAAATCCAAACAAGATAATATTAAAATCCTTCCACTCCCCTCCCCTCCTCTTCCCTCTATTAAAATCCCTCCCCTCCCCTCCCCTTCCTCTCATTGAGCCAAACATACCCTAAAGCTATTTTTGTTAATACAAATGATGTCCAAACATTCCTGAGTGGTATCATAAAAACGCCTCTTACAAATAATTTAATAAAGAACTGCATAAAAACAAGTGCGCGTCCGAGATGAGTAAGAATCAATATGCTCATTAGCAAATGATTTTGTTTTAACCCATACTAGCATCTTATGTCTCACATAAAATCTAAGAAATAAATTGTACTATTTATTTTTTTAACAATTTAATTTATAAAAGAACAAATTGTTAATTGTTCTTTGACAAAAAAAATTGTCTTTAATGTTATCTTTAATGTATTTTTTGTCAAAGATAACATTAGTTAATGTTAGTGTTATCTTTGACAAAACAATTGTCTTTTCTTTTTTTTTTTTGCTAGTTAGTGATTGTTTTTAAGGATCCGTTTGGTATGAGAGGAAATAAAAAGAAGGGAGGAGAAGAAAAACTTTAATAAGTTCGATTTAAAAAATAAAAAATAGGGTTAAAAGCTTTAAATTAATTTTTATTACTCTTTTTTATTTCTTCTTCTTTTTATTAAAATTTCAAAACCCCACTTCTTTAATTTTCTAAACAGCACTCATTAAAATTTTTCTTCTCTTCCTCTTTATTTTTCTCATAGTACCTAAAAGAAAGAATAACTCAACAACTTTTGACTTTTAAAGTTAAAAATGATCTTTAAATAGACTAAAATTGATGTCGTAGGATTATGATGAGATTTTGATTGAATGATCCTTATCTTTGTAAATTTTGTCATAATAAAAAAAATTATTCAGATTAAAACTTATTAGAAATATATAACTCCGAGTTTTCACCTTCCCTCGTTACTGCCTCCCATTTTCTAGGCCTGGGTCTTGCTTGATCAAACGTCATCAAATGCTTAAAACCCTCATTGGGGTTTAAGCTGAACCGTAGTTCTCTTACGCCTCAATTGTTCTCTCTCTGCGAAGTGCGGAAGCAAAAATCGCAAAAATGAATCGAAGCGCAAAAGTTTCTATCTTTAATGTGATCTACCGATACCCTTTTCGTCACTATCCAAAATCCACTTCATCTTCTCCACTTATGCCTTCATCAATTCTGTCAATATCTTCTTCGCACCGGCCTTCATCTCCAGAACTATCGATTCCCACCATAGCCACCTCAAATTTCCACTCTTTTTCGATGATTCCTCGATCACATTTCATGACCCAGCAGTATGATCTGAGGAGCTACAGTTCCGGGTCGGGTAGTTCGGGCACCGAGTTGGACAAGGACAGGGAGGTGGATATGATTAATCTGAAGTTTGGTGAAGCAAGGGAAGAAATAGAGGCAGCGTTGGATTCAAAAGATACTGTGTATTTCAACGAAGAAGCCGAGTGTGCTCGTGCTGCTGTCTCTGAAGTATTGGAAATGTTCGAGGGACTGTTGGCTAAGTTGCCCGAAAGCGAGAAGGCAGCTTTACAGAGGTCAATGGGGTTGAAGATTGAGCAATTAAAAGCTGAGCTTACGCAGTTAGATGAGTAAGAGATGGTATGTCCCCCTCTCCCACTCTTCATCAAAATTTGTTTCTTGATGAGTTACTAAGCGATATGTTTCAAGTTTATAATAATAGAATTCTTTGTACTGTTAAATTGAATGTAACTTTGAATCAATAGTATTGGGTGTTTGGCCATTCTGTGAGATTGATGCCATTAATCATTAGACGCAGCTTATCGAATGCTGCGATTTTTTTCTTGTCTCATTTGGCTTGATCTTACCTTTTGTTGGTGGATTACTGTTCTATCGCTTGCTCTAACACTTCGACAGATTGGTTTTACTGTTTCTATGGTTGGTAACTGGTAACATTGTGAGAGCCTTTCGCTCATGCATGTATTTAACGGTGTTGGTCATCAAATGAATAAAATGATTAAATATCCCAAGATGAGATTCTGTGACATTCGATATCTGCCACTAAGTAGTAAAGTTGATTTTTGCATCATTTAGAATGCAAAAAGAGCTACGCACGTTCCCTCTAACCCTCAGCTTTAGCTCTGATGTGATCAAGCTCGTTTTCCCGCTCTCCATTCTACTAGCATGAACAGCTTATCCAACATAGGGGTGGCTTCTACTTATGAGAAGTACAAGCATTAAACTTGAGTGTCGAGTACAAATGAACAGATTAAGTGTTGAAAATTTCTTGAAGCTGCCTTCTAAATTTGCTGGTACTTCTTTCAGGACCTTTTTAGATACACGTTAGGTGATGCTTGTGGAGGGCGCTTTTGGCTTTCTTTTGTTTTCTAAAACCAAAATATACTTAGAATGTCAGTAAAATTTCATTCTGCAAAAGTTATAAATAATTAAAACTCTTGAAGCTCTCACATGAGGTTGTTCATGATCACTTCTGATTTGTAGTGTAGCTGATAGCATATTTGCATTAGAAAAGGTATTTGGGCAGAAACATTTTAAAAGTTGCTAAAATTACACAGCAAGTAACACATTCTTTTCAGAAAAGCCTACGTTCTTCTGTGTCTTTTGTCTAGGGCCTATTCATCCCAAAAGGCTTTGCTGGTGATGGCCCGTGCCCTTTGGGCCAATTCATCTCTCATGCTAGAGCTGGTTGGCTTTGACGCGTGCACAAAGTACAAGCCTTTTAGATCAATTTATATAGGAGAATGAAAAGATTATGCTCAATTTCACGAGTCCTAACATTTGATTGTAGAGGCTGTGATGTGAGTGACAACACAGCCCACAGCACAGGTTTAAACTCGTAAGTCTTAATAGAAAATCCATGATTGGTTTTATTAATGTCATCAACATCTTTATTGCTTAAGCCAGTTGTAACTACTGAACAAAAGAGGTATGACTAGAATGGAAGCAAAATGTTATCAGAATTGATCATATAACTTCTGGACTTAGGCCAATGCCAATCATGTTGACTCAGCGGCTCCATTGATTTTACAATTCAAGCATCTGGCAAACAATTTAGTCGAAATTATTGATCAATGACGACTAGTGGCATGGATGTGTGCTACGAGGTATGCAGCTCTTGTGTGTAGAAATTTTTCCCTTTCCAAGATAGTTTGTGATGTAGCATTTGACACGCAGCCCTGTAGAACGAAGGAAGCAAAAATCAGAGTCTGGTGAATCTTCGACTTTATCAATTGGAAGTTACTTTCATTCGTCACTGCCCCTAATTAAGTCGCTAATGGTGCTACTGACCAGTGAATTGTTGTCAAGTAAAAGCATTGTCGTTTTTCTGAACGAGCTTGTGTTTGATACATGTAGTTTATGATCGCTGAATAGTCAAGGCCAAAAGAAACTTTATTCATGAACACCAGGTAAGAAGTGAAGATGTGCAATGCATATGGACAAAATGCGTGTTTTCAAATCATAGATTGTGCAATTCCCATTTGCCTTCTTATCTCCATTAGCCTAATGAAACTTAACTTTCCCGATAGTCTGGCCTACCTTGTTCATTTGTACTTTTGCTGAATTCTATACCACACAAGTCAATTTAGGAGGTAAGTCAGAGAATAATTGCTTTTGCAGCGGGTCAGTGGTGATTGGTTTCCACTTATTTAGTTCCTAGCATGTCTGTAGGTCTTTCATTGTCAGCGAATTAAAACAAGGTGTCTGTTTCCTCAGTTCACAATTTGTGGGATTGTTCCCACATTATCCAAATCGATGAGATAATAAAAGAAAACACCTATTTTATGTACTAACTCCACTTAGCTGTACTTGTCATCCAATCTGTGTTTTCGAAGTACTACAGTTACTGGTCACTTGAGGTTAAGAAGTAGCTTTTCTTCAACTTCTAGTTCTTGACAGAAATTCCAATGGTGATTACCAAAACAGTTTTGATTTTAAAAATTATATAGACTTGTCATCTCTCACAAAACTCAACATTCAACTTGATTTCACTGTTGCCACTTGATAATCTTGAAGACTAGGCAATAGACATTGAAAGAACCATATGTATTGGTGGCCAACAGTATTTTTGAATGACCTACTCACTGATAATCCTAATCGTCATCTTCCAACTTATCTTATGAACTACTCACATCCCCCATTGTGAGATTGCTAACAATGATCTCTTCTGAAGCTGTTTCATTGAGCTGGTATATCAGTCTATGGGATATCTGTTGGACAGCGATATGCATGATGCTGTTCAGTGTTTATATGACCATGAAAATAACTGTTAAGGACTAGAGCCATGCTAGCACAGGCAAGAAAGGAAGATTGAAGTAGAAAGGACAAAATGATGAACATGTAGGCTCTCTCCCGTTTGACATAGACCGGAGAATAATCCAAAAAATGACACTCTTCTGGTTTTTAATATAAGACTTATTTAACTAATTTGATTAAATTAAAAAAATTAGGTAAGTTACTTAATTATAAGAAATATAACATGTTTTTTTTAACACACCATAATCGTCTTCTTTAATATCCTTACTCTCTTTTCTATTTGATTATAGTTGAAAGAGTATCTATAAAGAAAATTTAATAAATACAAGAAATAGGTCTTATATTTAGGATCAAAATCAACTTAATAACTAGGTTTTGTATTAAAAATTGGAAGAGTAGAACGAAAGAGAAATTATATGAAATGGGGGATAAATCTACTGTCTCTAAAGGTATGGGAGGGAAGTATGGCTTGTTTTCCTCTGCTTCCTAATACCCGGAAATGGCGGCCCTACACAAGGATGGAACCATACGTGAAGTGTTTTCTGGTTACTTTTCCTTCATATACAATGCTTCTTAAAGATAGTTGCTCATTTGTCTGCTTAAAAGCATTATTGGTTTTGGACCAATTATGACTCATGGAAACTACTTGGCATTGAAGATTCTCTTGACTTTCCCCACAACTTTCGGCTCTGTCGTTTTCTCCCCACCCTTTTCTCTGAAAAAGACGTTTTTCTTGGGAAGGAAAGGAATTCGCTGTAAGCAATCCGGGTTTGGATGGACTAGTTTTCCAAATTAAGTAGACGAAAACAATTAATTTTGAATAATTACGGAAATATGTCAAAACTACGAAATACTATTAAAGAATATTTGACATGTTAAAAATTCATGTACAGTTTCTTTTCCGTTGAAACTATTATCAATTAGATGTTTTCAATGTTTTCCTTTGTCACTTTAGTAGCTTAAAAAAAAAAACAGCATGAGTTTGTTCCATTGGCCTTTTTTTTTGGGGGTAGAGTAGCAAAGGATATATTTTTTTAATACATTATAAATGTTTTTTTTTTTTAGGATGACATAAATCTTTTTATATTTCCAAAATATACACATTCAATATTGTTAACACAATATCGATAGTAAATATTATAACCATGAATATTTTCAATTATTAATACGAATATAAAATTTATATTTATAGTCATATTGTTCATAATACAACTCATTTCATATTGCACCTGATGTATTGGAAGGCATTTAATTTCCCTCAACAAGTTATTACAAATTAATTTAATTTTAAACTTCCCTACTAAAGAGAGTGTGAATTCAAGAATGAGTTCATGATGAGTATTTTAAATCAAAAAATTCTAAATTATACTAAAAATTACAATTGAACTTAGCAAAAGTATAATTTAACAAAAAACTATGATATGTTTAATAAATTTTACTGCGTAGAATTTACTATTTAACTATTGGGGAAGCAAATGTTCTTTGCAGAAACTTTTTGAAAATGGGATTATACTCATTTTCAGTACAGACACCCAGTGCATGAACTGAAACAATTACGGGCAGAACTTTAGGCAGAAATACCGGGACTAACCATGAATGACAAATTTGGTGTAACCTCACATCAAACCAGCCAACTATTCAGCAATTCAGTACAGACATGAAAATAAGCCAAAAGGAAGGCTCAAAAAGATGTCATGAAATAGCATGGTTGCCACGATCACATGATGCAAATAAGAAAACAGATACTTATATTTCTTAAACTGTACAATGATAGCCGTTTGAATCCATTACCATAATTTTCTCTAGCTCTACTCGGAAAGTTCCCACAGTAACAACACCAATCTCTAACCCATTGGAAGTGAAAAATACAAAAAAGAAAAAGGAAAAATAAAAAAGAGAAGAAATTTAACACTGAGTTGAGGACTGTTTTATTAGAGGCTGAGAGGTCTTTCCCACATCCTCCGGTGGGCTCTTCACCTCCATTAGCAGAGCCACCACTTCCTTCATTGTGGGTCGTTCAGCCGGCGAAGAGTTCACACAGAACATGGCAATCCCAAGAGTTTGAAGCATCTCTTGAACCATTTGATCTGGTAGGCCTTGGAGCTTTGTGTCTAGAATTGACACCGCTGGTTCAAAGCTTCCCATCTTCCTCTTGATCCACTCAACTATGTGTACCCCACCCCCAACATGGGACTCAACAGCACTTCGCCCACTCAGTATCTCCAGCAAAACCACTCCATAACTGTACACATCACTCTTCTCTGTTATGTTCATGGTGTAGCCATACTCTGCAATGGCCATTAAAATGGTTACAGTTAAAATATGCTGCTTTGAATAGCAAAATTAGCCAATGAAGGTAAAAATTGACACTATTACTGCCATCCATATTTTGAAAAGAAATAAATTATTTTCAAATCTAAAATCCAATTCAATAATACAACGGGGATACCGAAAATATGATCCTCATCTTGATAAAAACTACGTTGAAATCAGCAAATCTAAGCGCGTTGATCGTCCATGGTTAAAAAGCAAGGTAGATTGGATACTTGCCTGGGGCAATATAACCATAAGATCCAGCGACTCTGGACATTGCATGGTGATAATTTGGTGAACTCATCAGCTTGGCAAGACCAAAATCTGCTAGATATGCCTCAAACTTGGAATCTAGAAGTATGTTATTGCACTTCACATCCCTGTGAAGGATTGCTGGCAAACAGTCATGATGAAGGTATGCTAGACCCTGGGCTGACCCCACAGCAATCTTGTACCTTGTTTCCCAGTCTAGGTACCTATTTCCTTGCAATAGCTGTCTTAGGTTACCATTTGGAATATAATTATAGAGAAGAAGCTTAACACTTCTGTTAGAACAGTAACCTAGGAGCCTCACAATATTCCTATGCCGGATGTGCCCAAGAATCTGAATTTCTGCAGCAAAAGAGTCCACAGTTTCTTCCTCTTTGTTTGCTTTCCAAAGCTTCTTTACTGCTATCAACTCCCCGTTAGGCATTTCAGCCCTGTATACAATGCCAGAGCAACCCTTTCCAATCACATTCTCATCCTTCAAGCAATCCAAGATATTATCTATGTTGAAGTTTAGTTTTTGAAATGGAATGAAAGTCCAAGGATATGAGAAATCCTCAGCTACTGAAGCAGATGATGATGTCCCCAAAGATTTTTCAATCATATTCCTGTGGTTTCGTGTCACCAAAATCCAAGATGCAATGACAATTATGGTAACTGAGGCAAGAATTACCGATATCAAGGCTATGGTTTTGGCAGATTTTAGACCATTTTTTCGAAGCAGACTAGAACATGTGGTCCCGTCAAGGGATTCACAAAGATGGGGATTCTCAAAATATGAGTTTGAAGATAGGGTTCTAAAGAAAGGAGTTACTGGGATAGGACCGGAGAAGTTGTTGTAGGAGATATTTAGGGAAGTGAGACTGGTGAGGGAACCAAGAACCTTGATTCCTCCATGGAGCAAATTATAAGAAAGATCAAGTGACTGTAACTGTGTCAAACCGCTGATTGACTCGGGGATTTCTCCTGTAAATGCATTGAGCTCAAGTCCAAACTGATAGTTAAGCTTGTAACATAACCAATCTCAGTTGGGATGTCACCAGAGAAGTTGTTGTAACTCAAATCCAATAGAGTTAGCTTCTGCAACTTTCTGATGGATTTTGGAATTGAACCTGTGATTAAATTATTGTTGAGAATCAGCTTGTTCAAATAACTTAAGTTTCCAAAGCTCCAAGGAATTTCACCTGTCAAACTGTTTCTACTGAGATCTAGCTGCTCTAAATTTACAAGCTCCCCAATCTGAGATGGGATATCCCCAGTAATGTGATTATTATGAACATCTAGAAGCTCTAGAACTGTGATGTTCCCAATCTCCACTGGCAAGCTTCCAGAGAAATGGTTGATGTACAAGTCGAGGAACACCAGATTCTGCAGTTGGCCAATCTCTCTTGGTATATGTCCTGAAAGCTGATTTTCTCCAAGCCTCAACCGTACTAGAGACTCACAATTTGAAACGCTTGGTGGCAATTCTCCAGATAAGGAATTTCCCAGAAGCAAAAGCTTACTCAGCTTCTTCAATCCGAAAATTTCATCTGGAATTGAACCTGTTAGCTTGTTCCTTGAAAGGTCAAGTGCATAAAGTTCTGTACAGTTACCAAAAGAGGCAGGTATGGCTCCAGACACTGAATTCCCCCACAAGAAAAAACTCTGTAAAGACTTCAATCTCCCAACTTCCCATGGAATAGTACCTGATAATTGATTCTTGTCAAGCTGAAGGGTAGCAAGATTAGTGCAGTTGCTCAGTTGCCATGGTATTTTCCCTGTGAGAGAATTGTCTGATAGATGAAGCTGTTCTAGAACCATCAGCTTCCCAAAATCAAGTGGTATTTCACCAGAAAGTTCATTAGCAGAGGCATCAAACACAACAAGTGATGAGCAATTGGAAATCTCAGCAGGGATTGACCCAGTCAAGGCATTGCCCCAGAGAAGCACGCTAGTAAGCTTTTGCAACTTGCCCAGTTGAGGTGGGATAGAACCTGTCAGCTTATTCATGTGCAAATATAGATTCCTTAGCTCAGAACACAAACCAAGCTCCGGTGGTACAGAACCAGAAATTTCTGTATCATAAAGTGCTAGCGTTTGGAGATTGATCAAGTTCCCGAATGTAGACGGAATAACACCCGAAAGTCCAGTGGCTGCGGCCCCAAATGTAGTGAGATTGGTGAGTAGTCCTAGTTGTAGTGGAATCGCACCGCTTAGATAGGGATTACCCCCAATTCGAAACTCTTGTAGAGATGTCAAAGAGCCTAATTGTGATGGGATTGACCCGTTAAGGAGATTGTCTTGAAGGCAGAAAACTTGAAGTGAAGTAAGATTAGCAAGTTGCTGAGGGATCTTTCCAGTCAATCCATTGGAGTTCAAGTAAAGGAACTGCAGCGAAGAGAGTCTGCCGAGTTCTCCAGGAATGGAACCAGTGAGAGAATTTGAAGAGATGTCAAGGAGGCGAAGATGGGAGAGTTGGCCAAAAGAAGGTGGGATGGAGCCAGATATATTAGTGGAAGACAGATTGAGAAGTTGCAGATATGATAAAGAAGAAAGCTGGGAAGGCAGAGAGGAAAGGTTAAGGAAAGTGTCTGGAATAGATAATGAAATGACTCTGCCTTGTGGGGAGCAAGTGACGCCATGCCATGAACAAGGGGTTTGGCTTGATGGGTTCCATGAAGAGAGAACAGAAGAGGAGGATTTTGCGGAAGGGTCAGCTGAAGATATAAGGGAAAGAAGGGCCTGTCCATCAGGTGAGAGAGAGGAGACTTGTTCGATCTTTGCCATGATCAACCACAAGAAGAACAGAGAAAATAATAGGGATGGGGTGACACTAGAAGGAACAATATTTCCCATTTAGGGAAATGGATAGTGACTTAATGGTGAAACTGAAGAAGTCTAATAAGAACTGGGTCTAAAAGTTTAGTGTAGTCAGTCGTCCTGCTGTTGAAGATGGTGGTGAAGCTGATAAAAGTCCACTCAAGGAGACAACATGCATGTGAAGGAGGTTTCTATTGAGGTATGATGCTTAAGTTTCACACTAGCCTTTTCAATACTTGCATGTGAAACATAAGAGATTGTGGCATCTATCAATATTTAAGAAGGAAGTGAGAAAACCGGCAATAAAAACAGTATTACCTATTCCTCTGCCTTGCCAGAAAATGCACTTGCCTTCACATTCTTGCTGCATTGCTGTTCTTTTTTAGTGCTAATGGTGGTGGAAAGGACGGCACAGTGGCTATTCCCAGTTCTGGCTTTGTTGAGAGCTATAGATAACCATTATTGGGTTCCATAATTCGCGTGAATGCTTGCAGGTAATGGGGTTTAGCTCGGCGGTGGTAGAGAAGAGGGTGAGCTTTTTTTGAGTTCAAAGCACCTGGAAAACCTCCACACCCAGATAGGTATTGCATTTAAATAGTATAGCCTAGTTATTTTATTCGCTGGTTTGGCTTCTTAGGTTGTTCAATGTACCATATTGCCCTGCTTTTGGCGCTATTTGTCTCTGAGCAGAGCCGTTTACATAAAATATTGAGTGCGGAGTGGGCTTCTACAACAGCGGCTCTTTATTTCTCTTATTATCTTCTGCAATAATTTTAATCTTTCTCGATTTTTAAAACGTGTTAGCTTTTATCTTTAATATAAGATCTACTTAATAAATCTGATTAGATTAAAAAAATTAGTTTAATCAGTTATTTTTCAAAAATATACTATGTTAGTTTTCTTAAAATATCTTTTTAAATCATTTGCATTTAAACTCCCCTTGGTGCAAACTTCTTTAATATGACAATTAATAGGGATAGTTTGAAAAAATGATAAGTATATTAAGGATAAAACAAATTAAAATCTTATATTTAGAACTAAACTCAATCCCCAACTAGTTTTTATATTAGATATTAGAAAGTAGTATATTATAAATATAATCAGTATGCATATGATAAAGTGAGGGAAATTTGTGTACAAAACGAAAGGTCTTGCCATGTAAGAGGTTAGGATAGTTATATCCCTGTTATTTAAGCCTCAGGAAAAACATTCAACTTGGACAAAAAATCAGACTAGTGTACAGGTTTTCTAAAGACCTCATTAGGAAAGTCCCGCTAGGGCTACAACCACATTTGTAATTCTAACAAATAACAGTTAACAAAATTTCCAGCTTCTTATTGATGACTCAAAATGGAATCTTGCTGCTTAATAAGAATGAAAGAAAATTCAGATGAAGTGAAGACAAAGAAGTGACTGTTTGTCTTCGTATTGTTTGTATATCAATGCTTAGAATAAATAAACAAATAAATAAAACAGATTTAACATGATCAAAGTACCCTTTTTGTATATTTTGGATTAATCCATGTCAAAATTGGGCATATAAATCACTACAAAACGGTGCTGAAGCAAAGTTATAAGGATTCCTTATCCATCTGGTGTTTGGGACCGGGGCTATATTTCGGACAGTAGCAAGAGATTCAGAGCTTGATGTCCATGTTTATGTGCAAGTGTTGATATAGGAGTGAGAACGCCTTCCTTGGGAACAGGAAGAGTACTTGATGATAATAATATAGGAGTGAGGCAGCTTGGGAGATTGTGAAAGTTAAGAGGGTTGGAGAGCAAAACAATTTCACTGTCTTTTTTTTCTTTTGTATACATAAACTAAACCATAAGTTACAGGACCATCATCATAAAGGGCTTGAAAGCAAGAGTAGCGTAGATACAGATGAACCCTGGAGGCATGTGGTTATGAGAGAGAGATAAGGAAGAAGTGGCAAGAGTCTGTAAATACATACATACACACACATTTATATATTGCGAAGATTTTACTTTTGTTTGTTTATCCTTTTTACTGTCTGATTGGTTACTGTGAAAACTGTGAAGGGTGGAATTAAGAAAGGCCAGAGTGACTTGGTTTCCGAGGAAGAGAGGGGGTTGGTTTTGGGAGTGGAGCAAAAAAAAAGAAAAATTATGTCACATGAGAGAGAGAGTGTGTTTTGGAATAGTTTTAGGGCACAATTAACGATTAGGGTTCTTATTAGGGTTTAGGTTTTGACTGTTTCCTCTTGCAGTTTCAGCTGCACGAGGCCTTACCTCTCATAATTGTCACACAATTTTGAATTGAGAAGCTTGTACTTATAGTCGTAACCTTGAAGAGGCAGCCGTTAATTATTTTTCTTTGCTTTTGACATGGAAAATCTGGTTTTTGTCCATAAACAAAAAAACTTCCGTTAGTTTTTTATTGATCAAAGGATTCTGGTTAAAATCTCTATCGTTTGCATAAATCACATGTAAGAATCATGACAATTCAGTAACAAAACTCAGAAACGACCAAGTTTGTTTTACAGATAACCCGCTTGATGAAATGCTCCAATGGTTCTTAACATACTCCGAGGAGATTTGCTTCGAGCAATGGCGTAATTAGCATGAAAATCATAACCCTGCAAGAAATTGAACACCTGAATCTGATAAGAACAACAGTACTCTAACAAATATACACTTTAATGGAGAGAATAGTGGCCTAGTGTACCTGAAGCAGAAGAGTTGAAAATGGAGGTCCCAGAGATTTACTACTTAAATGCAAAGAGGCAACATTTTTCTTCTGTTATTCTCCAATGTTTACTGAATTTGGATTCGGATTTTATCAACAGTACGTGATAACTAGATCAGTATCATATATTCATTGATTCACATGCACACTTCAATTAGTGTTGTGGCAGAAAAGCATGGTTTTCTTTTCTTTTTCTTTTGTTTTTTTTTTTTGGTTGGGGGGGCGGGGGAGGCAGAAGAAAGCGGAGAAAATTGTAAATTACAATCACTTTTTTTGTTTACCTTGTTAAGATAAGTAATTTATAAACATTTAAGAACAGAATTAATTATTTATAATAAATCTATGTTGATTTTTTTAATATCTCTTAATCATTACACAACCAATGAACGCCATTAATATATGCAATTTATAGAACTATAGTTTAATAAAAAAAAGTTATAAATTAAGAGACAAACTAACTTGAGGTTTTATATTTGCAATCTATATAAATTCATTAACCAGCTCTTGCATTTATAACTGAAGTATAAAATATTTTTTTATTTTTGAAATTTGATATTAATCTTTCTTAAATTCTTTAAGTAGATATTGATTTAATATTATATTTATAAAATATAATACTCCTCTGGTCCTATTTATAAGACACTTCTAATATATTTCATACGGACCAAGAAAAACCTAAAAATGTATTAATTCTCCATTAAAATATAACAATTTTTCAATTTTACCCATATTTAATATATATACCTTTTAAAAAAGATAACTACTTACACCATAATAATGAAGGACAAAATAGTATGTTCACACTGAAAATTAATGAAATGACTTATAAATATGACACAACAACAAAAATTCTCTCACTACCCTATAAATAGGATCAGAGGAGTATGTTAGAATACTATCATGAGTTTCATGACTAGAAGTTTAAGAAATTGTTTATAATCAAGTTTCAAAAATTAAGATACACAAAAGACATAAAATTAAAAAAGAAAGAATTAGCTTTTAAAAAAAAACAAAAATAGTAAGAAGAGAGACGCATAAAGTCTCAGAATGCCATTTAACATTTTAAAATTCATGGATAAAGCCAGAAATCTGTTATAAATCCTTAACCTATTTGTACCAAGTTGTATTATTAGCTAATTTAGCATTAATACTTTGCTAATGACGAAGTGTCAGAAGTACAAAAGCATCAATTTGATCCGTCAAAAATATAAATCTTTTAATTTTAGTCTTAGTATCAATGAAACACTTTTTGGTCTACTTATTGCAACATATCTGTCACTCATAGCTTTTGAGAAATGAAGCAAAAAATCTAGGCTGTAAAATGAAGCAAAATGAATTAGATTTTGAGAATGATACAAGTTCCATTAGAGCATTACAACACCT